ATTCAACTGTTGATAATTTTGAACATATTGAGAAATGTTTAATCCTATAAATTATAAACTCTAAATAATCATAATAAAGTTTGTTTTCAGAAAAAAACCTTGCTAACAATCAGGTGGCAATAAGCTAATTAGCTTAGTTAGCAAGCTAACAGCTCATCTCCTGTAGCTAACGCCTTCTCTGTGCTAATCAATTTGTGAATATGCTAATCAGGCTGCGTGGACCCCACAATGGGATTGGTCGGAGCAGAGGGGCGGAGTCTCCAGGTCGGTGGCCGGCTTTCCCTATTGGTGCCCAATGATCATGCCTGTCCACACCACCAACGCACAGAATAAAGTAGTCTCTGATTCCTAATGGGCGATTATTTAGACATTTAGACATTAATGTTACATCCACTAACCTATATATATCAGAAAGCCTACACTTACGGTTTCTTTTGATACATAGGACCAATACTATAATACTGTAATAAACTCATCTCAATGTAAATAGTAATTATCATTTGTAAAAAACTTTAACCACTCACCACGTCAAGAATGGCATAGAGCAGAACTTCTAGGTTAACCCGAGTAGGGTGTTTGTAGTTTCTTACAGGCCGGGTCATGAAGTACTGATCATTGTTTTTGGTCAAGTTCAGGTAGTTTAAAACATCCTGATAGCTGCAGTTATCTTCAGAATACACCCCGTCTGAAGCAAAGACACGAAGACCCATTCACTATGAGACAAATTACTCTTAAAAGGAAAGAAATCACAAACATGATCATTCCCATGCTCTTAACTTTTTGTTCAAATATCGACGTCAAAGCCCTGGTGTTTGTCCTGGGAATATCTTCAATCACACCATGGTGTTTGTCTGGACATCAGAGTGATTTTGTAATTACTTCATGTTTTCACATGTGACTATACTAAATACTGAACCAATTTACAGCAAAACTGGTGAAGGGATGGGGCATGGTCCAGGGAAGAACCGGGTAAATTTTAATGAGGATCTCATTAAAAAGGCAGATCATTGATTTTTTTTTTTAATCACTTAATATTATGAGAGATATGGCATTTTTCAAAATTTTCATCAATTTCTAATGAAATAACACATGGATCTTGATGTGAAAAATCAGTCATATTTATGGTGTTAATATCTATGAGTCTGTACAATTACAAATGTTTTCAATCAATGTCTTTTTATTACCAGAGGTAATGACAAAAACATTAAACTCTGTCGGTGGGAATCCACTGCTACTGAATTTATGATTGAACCTTGCAAAACATGAGCGTACAAATATCTGCCGTAATATCCAGTGGCCATTATAAGATGGGCGTGAGTCCAACTGGGGCTCTCTATCTGAGATCCATTAGCTATGAAATGTCCAAATGCATCTGCTCTCAATTTAGTTCACAGAGCTCCTTCAGAGTGCTATTATGTGTTATTAAGTCCAATGTCCCTCTACTATTATTTCTATGGTAAAGTGCATCTTTTTAAAGTGTCATTAAAATATGATTTTGGTATGAGTCAAATTCAACCCTGAGAGCATCACACAGGTTATTTTTGTCATTATAAACACGAAGTGGACACATGCAAATGACAAACACATAGGAGGGCAACTCAGCATATCTGCCTGCTCTTTTAAAAAAGTCAGTGTAGTTTGGTTTAAATCAAGCAATGTTCAAGAAATAAGTTCTGCCTTCTCAGGATTCACCTGCATGTACCAAGCTGAACACAATCCAAGCTTACCTGTGCGGAAGAGCAGGAAGAGGAAACCAGCAAGCATCATGACTGCAACAGTTGTGCAAGACATCTGTACAGTAAATGTCTATCCCTCTCCTTTTCGTAATGTCTGGAAACGTCAAGTCTGTTGCAATAATAATACAGCTGCCTCATGCTGGAAGAGGGCCGGACAAACTGAATGACCAAAGCTTTCTGTTCTGTTTTTTTCTAATACCATTCCTCTAATAGCCATCCGGAGACAGCATTCATCACAACATCTCTCAGGGGACTTTTACGGAAGAGCAAGAGGCTGTAAAACTCATGGTAAAGATAAAAACAGCCTGTAATGAATGTTTAATCGTAAACGTTCAGTAACTGCAGCTAAATAAACATTTTACATCGAAATCCCCAGGAACAGGATCAGTAACAGCCCAGACTCTCCACTCAGTATGCTGTCATTAACACTGAAATTACACTTATAATATAAATACTGTATAATTGATTTAATGTTGATGTGAGTTTTTCACCTACTGAGATGGACAATTGATAATCAGTGGTGGAAAGTAACTAAGTACATTTATTCAAGAAATTAAGTATTTTGAAGTCGGTACTTGTACTTGGTATTTTCCATGTTCTGCTACTTTATACTCCTACGAAATATTGTACTTTTCTACTTCATCACATTTATTTGATAACTTTAGTTAGTAGTTAATTTGCAGATAATCAACTAATAAATTATGATGTATTATTATAAGACTTGCTTGATCCCCAGGGGGAAATTCACAAACTAGTAGTAGCTATATAAAGTACTTAAATGAGCCTCACTAGCCTTTACCAGCTGCAATATGATGCACACATTCATGCATTAGCAATAGTGAAATACATATTACTCTGACATGGGCCATTCTGCACAATGAGTTCTGTAATTTACGTTTCATACTTAATGTATATTTTAATGCTAATACTTTTGTGCTTTTACTTTAAATTTGTGAATGCAGGATGTTTTTTGTTATTGCTGCTTTTACTTAAAAGATCTGAGTACCTCTCTTACTATACTATCTATACAATACTTGTACTTTTGATGTTGATTTTTAGTTTGACTGTCGATTCATTTTTTGCGGTAAGAAAACTAATGTTGCATTATACAACAATGACACAATACTGAAGTTTGATACATGAATTACTATTCAAGCAATCCAAAAACAACTATTATAACAATTTTTTTATCACTCTCTTTATTGACACAAGCATTATATTTAGTTTAGTTTAGTTGCATTTGGAGACTAAAGTCATGTTTGTTTTATATTTGACAAAACCTGTCACTTTATATCGGTTTTTAATCATCAACTTTGAATTACCTCATATCGGCAAAGACCAGCACTATCAAACAGGACATGAAAATTTGAAGCTGACTATGGCTATCTGCAAAAAGTAGAGTACACCACCTTGTGGTGGTGTAAGGAAAATGTCAGAGGAAACTGTTCGGATCAAATTTGAATAGTGCAAGAGGAAAGGTTAAGGAATTTCACAATTCATCCTGATGGAAGTATGTATGTGTGTACTAAATTTCATGGCTACTAATCCAATAATTGTTGAGACATTTCACCCAAAACCACAAAGGTGAACCTCACAGAAGCTGGAGGAAACCTCAGGGGACGCCAGAGGAAAAGTCAGAGCATCACAAAAGTCATTAGGATTCATCCTCTGGGGACCATGAATGTCTATTACCCAATAGTTGTTAAGCTCTTTCAGTCTGGACCAAAGCGGTGGACCTACCAACATGACCTTCCATACAGCTATGCCCACAAGCATGACTAAAAATATCATCCACTGTGATTCAAAGAGATGAGACAGCAAGAAAGGAGCTGGTCGGTACTTCTTATAGACGCTGTAGCTGTGTGCACACATCTTTGCCTCCTCTCCTCTACTGAGTGTGAACACTACAATAACACTAGATCCGCACTGTTATGGACAAAATGACTGGCCGGCTTCCTTTCATCCTGTTATCAGGATATCAGGCTGGTGAGGATGGACATGATTGGTTTAAAGCCTGGGTGACCGATGAGCTGTGCGGTGAAAGAGGACTGAAACAGGACAGGAAAGAAACATTTATTTGTCCAAATGAAGAGATAGTGTGAACATTTACAGTGTAAAACATATGACAACAGTGAGGTCAGCGAGTCTGTGCGCTTGTGTGTGTGTGTGTGTGTGTGTGTGTGTGTGTGTGTGTGTGTGTGTGTGTGTGTGTGTGTGTGTGTGTGTGCGTGTCTGTTTAACAATGTTGTCTAAGTGAAGGATTTGAACTGGAAGCAATACATTTTTCTCTTTCTCTCTGTTGCAGCTGATTGTTCTGATTGGATTACATTAGATTCGGTTTATGCCCATTCTTGTCACGTTGCACAGATTTTAGGAGGCGGTCAAGATCACATTATGATGAATCTTGGGGTAACTATTAATCTCCTGCAACATAAACCACTGGACACAGCTGCACCTTCGTTTATACAACTCCATCAACCGTTTTTATGCCTCTGTGCCGGCGACAGTCTGGACCAGAGGCATTGTGTTTTTGGGTTGTCCGCATGTACGTCCCATTCTCGTGAACACGATATCTCACTAACGCTTTCTTCAAATTTGCCACAAACATTCACTCAAGGATAAACGGATTAGATTTTGGTGGTCAAAGGTCAAAGTCACTGTGACCTCACAAAACATGTTTTTGGTCATAACACACAAATTCATATGCTAACTATGATTTAATTCAAATTTCTAATAGGATAAAATGATGAGGTGATGACATTTTATATCCAAATGGTCAAATGTTAACTTCACTGTGACATCATAATGTTCTGCAAAAACACTTTGATTGTGACCATATTTCCTACAACTTGGCAGGTAGGCGGAGGCATACAACCAAATCTATCGTCAATAGATGGATCTGCGGCTTCGTCTATGATGAAGACTTTTTAAATCCTGGTTTTTACAAATCCTCAGTGGAAGGTAAGTATTTAACCAAAAACATTTTGAAGTCTTATTACTCATTTATTTTAGCCTACAAGTTGATCATAAATTCACATTTGCTGTCAAATATTTCAAGACTAATGCAGACTTTACAAGAACAACGTGACAGATTTTACAGAGAAATCTTTACAGCATGCGTCAAAGTGGAAAAGAAACGGACACAGAGAACTGGTTTACTCCATCAAATACATCAACAAATCATATTTTCACACAGAGGGCTAACAATATAGAAACGGAGGTACTACAAGGTATTAAAGTACTAGGTAGGTAGGTGTTAAATCTCTAACTGTTCCATTCATTGAAGATGAGGGATAGAAACAGTGACACAGTGGTGACGTAGAAAACGAAGAAGCCTCTGTTGATTCTTGTGGCCCAGTGGTTGGACTTCCCTCCCTCCTCTCTGGAGCTCAGATGCAGATTCAGGGTTTGCTGCAGCTCCTTCATCTCCTCCAGAATCAACAGCAACACATGAAACTCTCCTGAATGAACGCATTTGTTAACCTGCACACACACACACACACACACACACACACACACACACACATGCAGTCAACTCAGAGTGGCTTTGTTCTCCCACTGTGATTCAGATGGATGAAGTTGTGTTGTTTCTTACATGTGTTGTCGGGGAGAATCTTTACTTTTTCACATGACAAGTCATTGCATCTAAACAAGCTGAAATCTGGAGTTTTTAGATGTAAAAGGTGCGTAAATATATTGAATTTTGCTGCATTATCACAACAGTGTGGACTGATGCCTCCAGTACCTTTGGCTTTGGCAACTCTGAGAAGTTATCACCCTGGCAACTATTTTCTCCTTCATCATGCTGCTTGCAAGGTAATATCAATCAATAGGATTGTAAATACAAAGCAATCTACCTGGAATGTGCACTGGCCAATGCAGAGCCTGGAAGAATAACGTTGCGTTGTGACTCTTTTTTCATGTTTGTTTTTGGTTCTTTTACTGGAACCCTCTACATTAGCTGAAACGTTTGTATATGCTAAATTTTAACATTATGCAATTAAGAATCCATTTAACCCTATTATACAATCTATTATTTCTTCATCTTTTATGGTTTTGCATGATCTTAGTTTATCCAAATAGTTTTGGATGGAGAAAGAAGCATTACAGAGTGGAGGATAGTAAAAATGCCATGATGCTGCTTAAAAATACAGAAGGAAAAAGAAGTGGTCTGTTTTGAACACTCGTTTAATAACTCAAGACCCCAGATTTGAACTAGTTATGATGATAAACCGCAGGACTGTATCAATAATCTTGTACCTCTTCAGCCAGTGGCAGCATTTCATTCCGTTTCTCACCGTCAGACACTTTGCTGATGCATGAACAGCAGGTCTGTCTTTTCTCCCCTGAAAACACACAGCAGGTTTGACACAAGAGAGGAAAAACTGCACACACAGAATGATTCACAATGACTGTCTACTGCATGTAAAACGGTACCGGAAAGCTTTCTTTCAAATCAAAGTATTTTTCTATTTTATTAAATGTTTGTGACTAAATATGAAAAAAATATTAGATAATAGACTAAAACCAGAATAAATTCTCCAAAATATGTTAGCACCTGATAAAGCTTCTGTGACGACTGCTCTTGTCTGCTCTCGTCTGTGATGCGGGTCTCACCTGCGTTACACTTATCGCTTTTGATGTTTTCCTGTTTGGCCTCCGTGTCGTCCTTCAGCCTGAGCTTCTCCTGGGAAGCTGAATCTACTTCCATCAGATACGTAACCAAGATGGTCTCCAGCAGACTGAGTAGCATCAGAGCAAAAATCACAATGCAGTAGGTCGCTGAGAAGAGGAAACAGGCAATAACTACTTTTTGTTTTGGTATCCAGTTAAAGGGTTGGTTCACCCGAATCACAAGGAACACATTTCTTCCTTAACAGTAGTAATTTCTGGCCATGCAGATTGTTTTGGTTTGATTTGCCCAGTAATCTGTGTCGGTATCTGGGAACTATTTTCTAACAAATAAATGGTCCCTAATTCGGGTGCGTTGGTCCTTTCAGTCTAGTCCATGGTGTTGTACCTATGAGTGGAGTCTTGTTGGACATGGAGGGCAGGATGTCGTTCAGGATGAGCAGCAGGACGGAGATGGCCAGTAGCACCGTGACCTTGAAGCCCAACTTCTCTCCTCGGTGGTCTGAGATGAAGAAGGAGGCGAGATCCAGACTCAAGAAGAACAGGATGGGCAACAGGAAGTTGATGACATGGAGGAGGGGCCTCCGCCTTATGGTGAACTAGGAAAGTGTGGAAAGTGTATATACTTGGTCAATTTAGAATATAATACGCACACAAGCTACAAGGGCAGTGTAAAAAAAAAAAAGAATATGAAATAAGTAATCATTTATTAATCGCAATTGAGGTAAAAGTTTAAAATAATTGACATTGATTTGAAGTCAGATCGCCAAGGCCTAACACTTGTATTCTCCGCTCATCTATTCACTTTTCCTGTAATTTGTCACCCGTCTGTGTCTCTCCCTGTGTTGCGTACAGTGTATATAAGCTGTTCCCACTCTCTGTTGTCGTAGGTGAAATTGTGGTTGTTGACAGACAGTTGGAGGAACTCCCACTCTCCCTGAGTCTTCATCACCTCTCTGGAAAACTGAGTGGCCCGAGACGAGTTGGAGGAAGGAAGGAGCCGAATTTCATCAGCTGTGTTGAGAGAAGAGCGGGAGATTTTGAGTGAAAGTGGATATGAAAACATCTCGGTCACAACCGTGGATGGATTACTGAACAAGTCTATCGGGCACATGTCAAGGGGTGAGAGTGGCCAGAGCCTCTGTCTGGAGTGAGTCCTAACATTTCTTGTTGCAATGTAAATCAAGTGACTGCAAAGAAACAGAAAACGACCACAAAGGGACTCAAAACAACTGGAAAGCTCCTCAAAAGAACGACAAAGAGATGTAAAACAACTGCAGAGACACACAAAGTGACTACAGTGAGACAACAACTACAGAGAGACTCAAAGAAACTATAGACTCTAAACAACTACAAAGACACAGAGACACTGCAAAGACACACAAAAGGCCAAAAAGAGATGAAAAACTACTACAAAGAGACAAAACAAAGAAAAACAATGCAACAACTACGAAGACACAATGACTACAAAGAAACACAAAAACACAAAACTACAAATTACAAGACTACAAATGACACAGTCCTCATTCCCCTGGGGGTCCTATGCAGAAGGGGTTATGGGTCATGTCCGTCAAACATGTCAGGGGCCTATTTTCTCATCAGTCAGAGACACACACACACACACACACACACACACACACACACACACACTCCCTGCCTCACCACAGTGTATCGCAGAACCAATGGAGATGTTGCATCTCTGTGTGTCGAAGGGGAACTTGTGGACGTCCATTTTACAGGTGCTGACCACCTTCACGTCCTCTTCAGAAGTGACCATCCCATTGTAGGACACGTACATGTAGGGATTCTGAGGAGACTCATCTTTCTGTATCCTGAGACGACACACAAAGGTGCGTTTTTCAACATGTGTTTGTAGAGCATGAAAACCACACGGTGTTTCACTTCAATCCTGAACTGAATCAATAGACGACAGATTTCCTTCTGCCACCACTGCCGGATAATGTGTTTGCTTACTACTACTCTTGACAATAGTATAAAATGTCTGTGTGTACATTAATAAAAGTGAACACACAGTGAATTCATTTACCTCCTTATCGAACACAGGATCAGCAAATACCAAGCTGTTAAATTAATTCATGTTCAACAGCTGCATGGTGAATAAAAAGCTGTTTTGAACTCCTTTCTCATCCATTCAGCTCCCAGTATCTCCCACTAATCCCATTGATTCAAATAATTTAAAAGGAGCTATACTTTGTTTGTATCTGGTTTCATTAATTAATGAACGTTTAAAACAAAGCAGAGGAAGGTAATTTCATTTATTTAACAAGGAGTGGTGGAGATTTTCCTGTTACTAAAAACCATCATTTGTGTTTTTTTACAAAGCATTATGTGGTGAACAGGAAGTGAAAGGTAATTCTCTAGATTTTACAACCAAAACTTTAAAATTACGATTAGATTTATTGAACCGAAGTTACTTCACAAACATGGTAGAAATGCAAGTTCTTTTTGCAGCCTTTTTTTTTTTTTTTTTTTTGTAGTGGGACCTTTTGTGTGGAAAACACAAGTCTGAAGCAGTTTTGTGTCACCAACTGTGATATGAAGATCCTAAAATGTAACCAATTCCCAAAATCCCTAACTATTCTGCTTATATGTTTTAAATAACTACACTTGATGTGTGTGCGTGTGCCGCAGACTCACATCTCATAGATGAAGAGGTCCGGCCTCCAGAGCATGTCTCTAGGAACTGAAACCTGAGTGATTCCACAAAACTGAGCGGGGTCCCATGAGATGTGTTCATTGTTCCACATCTGCAACAAATTGAAGGTGAATAAAATACAGAATAACTGGTGACCAACCAGAGTGTTAAAGAGTCTCACATGAAAAGAGGATGGAAGAGGACATTTTTCATTGAAATGATCGAAATGAAAAGCACTAAAGATTCACTCAGTCAACTCACCATCGTTGCCCAGACAAAAGGAATGAAAGTCTGTGTTTTTTCAATCTGTGAATATACACAACCACACACACACACACACACACACACACACCGGCACTGATCAATTAGCAGCATTCAGCAGATGACGAATTACACACCAGCACAGTAACGCAGCACCTACCACAGCCAGAATGGCGTAGAGGATGATGTCCAGCTCTACTACGGTGGGGTGTGTGTAGTCCAGAACGGGCCGGGTCAGTTTAAACACACTGTTCTCTGTGGTCAGGTTCAGGTAGTCCAGTACGTCCTGGTAACTGCACACTTTCTCAGAGGACGCCTCACCTATACAGTAAAAGTCATCGGACACAAGCATTGTCTCAAAAAACTCGAATATATTGATGGCCCGTAGCTCAGGCTTTAGTATGTACGAATTCAGATTTCTAACATTAAACACAGTCTTAGTTTGCAGCATTTGGTTTGTTGCATTATATTTTATTTAGTTCATGCCATTTTATTTTTCTTTCTTTCATTGCTAACACTCTACTTCAAATAGTTGTAATCAAATACATTAATCAACACTTAATATAGTGTGTTACAAGCCATTTGAAAAAAACTTTCAGTCTTACCTGTGAGGAAGATCAGGACGAAGAAAGCAACAGGCATCATATCTGCAGCTGTGTGTTTTTGTGAATGTGCGTGTGTGTGTGTGTGTGTGTGTTAGTGTTGTAGCTCCAAGCCGAGTGTGTGTCCCTGCTCTGAGACCCACTCTGTGCCGCTGTCCTTTCATTTGATCCGAGGAGGGCTGGGCACAATGAATGAAATTTCTCACTGCCTGCAATGAGAAACCCCTCCCTCAGTGGACAGCCTGGGCGGGCGCTGTAATTGGCTCCCACAGGAGGAGAGGGGCAGACAGTGAATAGCCGGCTTTGGTTTGAGTTTAAAGGCAGGTGAGACTGAAGGTGATTGCTTTAAGGGACGAGGAACAATAATAAAACTAAAGGAAAAGGCAGGCAGAGAAGATTTATCCATCTGAGAGCACGAAACTTATTTGACAGTGGTGATGAGACCGTGGTGGGTGCACAGGAAGTTCGGTTTCAAAACAGACTATCACTGTAACACATGCAGAGCAGAGCACAACAAATTCAATTAAAGAGGAACTTGATCACCGAACTGACGTGGTAATGATATTATGAACAGTCATCATTTAAGCCCACTCATTCTCATCACAGCAGCTCTCAGTATCAGCCCCTGCCAGCCTCACAGCAGCCAGCCGGGCATTACAGCTGATTTACTATTCATGTAAAAAGTTTTTTTGCGTTAAGTGACTTCACTGATGGAGTTCTAATTCAAGTGTTGGTGTATTTTAATGGACTTGCTGTAATAACACTGGAGTTTACAAACAAATATAGGCTGAGTAGGGCTGCAGCTACTGATTATTTTAATTACTGATTACTTCATTACTGAGTTTTGATTATTTTTCTGATCAATCAATTGCTTGTTTGATCTTTAAAATGTTGGAAATAGTGAAAAATGTCCATGTTATGTGTGAACAACAGTCCAAAACCCAAATATAGACAAATCCAAGCCCCTGTTTAGGGTATAGCTTTAACATTTGTCCTTGATTAGTGACTGAAACAATTGATTGGTTATCAAAACGTTGTTGCTTAATCTATCAGTTGACCTATGAAGTCATTATTTGAGCACAACAATCAACCCATAAATAGTGGATTGTCTGTACTATGACTACTACACTCAATAACTACTTCTCACTTCTTAAAGGAACATAAACTATAAACAAACCCACTGATTGCCTGACTAACATCAGTTCATCACTTGGATTAAAAACGGCACACTGTAAGATATAAAAAATAACTGTTACATTATCTTAAATATGGTTACTGGGAATTTTCTTGTGATGGCCAGTCACGTTTAAAGCTGCATTAATTCATTTTTTGCCACATGGAGGCAGCACAACACAACGTAAACACAACACTAAAATATTGTCATTATAAAGTTAATATGGCAAATATGTTAGCATTGTGTATTTACACAACTGGCAGACAAAATTAACATTCATTAGGAGTCATGTTTCTGTCACCTGACAAATGTATGGCAATATTTTCCTCTTTTAGCTTGGTTTTTAACAACTCCTGGAAATATCTGGCCCTTAAGAAGCAGCTAAATGCTCCACTGCGTTCACCAGCTAAATGCTAACTTTCTCTGTCTGCTGTTTGGTTTTGAGCAGAAAGTGTACGGTGGATTTTTCAAAGCTTTTTCAGCTAGAAACAACACGTGGCTCTCTTAGAGCAGAGAGGGTCAAAGAAGACAGTGAAACCAAAACAATGAGCTTAACTAGGCTAAAATGCTCCATGTAGCTGAAGGGAGCAACAGAATTCACAGTCAAATGATGTATTGTTAACATAAATATATGGATTAGTGTAGCTGTAAATAAAAACATTAAAGTATACCTTTTAAGAAGAGAAAGCTCTTTTGTTTTTTGTGTTGTTTTTTTGGATTCATTAGTTGTTTTTTCTTCATTTTAATGTTATTAATTTTAGTTTTTCTTTTTCAACGTGATTTTTCTAACTACACATAACCCCGCGCTGATTGATGAATCTTTCCCATTTACATCAATAGCAAATCACTCAGTGACCATTTAGTTGCAAAAACTTTATTGTCCGTTTGATATTTTCTTTGACATTTTCACTCATAGTTCTATAAAAGTGGGGTCTTGCGGATTCGGGACCCATTCCTTTGATAACATACTGCAACTGGTGCCAGAGAGCGGCTTCATCTACACATTCGGACTGTAATCACATGACTGTTTGCAGCTTGGATATAGTAGTGCAGTAGTCTTGACCTCAACAGTTCGGCCAAGGGAATAAGGAGCCAGCAACTGATTATACAACACTACAGAAGGATATGGTACGGATTAATGTGTGCAGTGATCCATCATCAAGTATTCTACAGGAGGGTGCAGGCCGACCTAGACTAACATGCTTACTCTACTATCGCCTCATGCACCGCAACGTTTGTCGTCTAGGAAACAGCTAATAGTGCATTAAATGTTGATATCGTCCCTTTTCAGTTATTCGTTACGTGAGCACACGTGTGTGTAAACGTTTACAAATTTTTCACATATTTTCATCCACATTCGAATAAACGACACAGTGTTTTGCAACAAATTAAAAACACAGAAACAGAGAACATCAACAACAGGTGAGCGATACATTAAAGTTATACAAAACCGAAACAACTAAAAGCTTCACAAATGTGGAGAAAAAGGGCTCGTCGGGGTGATAATTACGGGGAGTATGAGGATGAATAAAATGCCAGCAAACGACAGTGTGGCCTTAATCTCACGTTTAGGTTTTCAAATTCACCGTATTCTGTTTTTCTCACAATATATCCCTTTACAGTGGCAAAATTCAAATAAAAAACATTGAAACACACACTGAAATGTCTGAATTTGAATACAACAGGTCAGTGCAAACACAGTTTCGTCATTGTTTGGACCGTGAATGAGCGCCGTCCTGCAGGAGAGAAGGAGGAGATGCACCTGCGGCATCTTTATTGCTTGGTGGTATTTGTTGATTTCCAGTTGCAACAATGAAAATACTGACATGCTAACATGGAGCTGCAGAAGGAGAGGATGGCATGGGTGGGAGTGTGTTTAAAGAACCAGTTTAGGGTTCAAAGTTTGTGTTTAATTCCAGTTTAGGTGACGATTTAGATGTCACGTACATTCTCCTTCTTTCACATCTTACATTCTGTGTGACATGTATTTTTTTTTTTTTTCTTTTTTCCATTTCTGTTCATTTAGGCTGACATTTCTTGGCTCATACGCCACCTCACAAGTCCGAGCGTTTCTAGATTCACATTCAGCAGAGGTTGCCGCGTTTGAAAATCATGGCGGGAATGAGAAGAAAAAAATCAGCAGGAGTTTGAAAGCTGCATGCGAAGTCGAGACGGGAGCTCCCTGATCCGAGGAGAGGAGTCAGCACAACTTAGTTCGCTAAGGTAAGGTAAGGTAGTCCGGTGTGAGCTGACTCTTATAGTGTCCGACCACTCATTCTACGTACAGTTTATAACAGAGAAGAAGAAGTACATTAGTAATAAATCCGATTGCCGATCACAGTAACCCCTGACTGTTTGGCTGGTAATAGAGGAGAGGGCAGGAGAGGAGGGGGAAGGAAAGGAAAAGAGAGGATAGGAAAGGAAGGGAGCAGCATGTATATTTCTAAAGATAGTGTCACAATACACAGCTCTCATTGGTTAGACCTACAGGTAATAAATAATAATGTAGCAGTAGGCTAATCACTCCCACAACACGTTAGGTCACAGACAAAAAAAAAAAAAAAATTATGGAAACTTCTGTGAGATAAAAGTATACAGGCGACGGAGAGGTGATTGTTCCTCTTCCCTCCTCTTTCCACTCAAGAAGGGTTTCAGCGCCAGCGAGAACAATCGATCCAGGAGACGTTCAGAAAGGTGTGGATGGGTTTTCCCTGTTCAGCGAGGACAGTATCCAGTGATGCAGCACTATGGCAGGGTAAGAAGAGCTGACTCTGGACGGGTAAGGTTAAGTCTGTGTGTATGTGTTTGTGTGAGCGTGTTACACAATGAGTGGTCCGCAGCGGGGATGTTTGGGACTCTGGCTGTCCCTGTTGTCTGCCCCCAGCTCCTCCAGGTTGATATTGCTGGTGGAGGTGTGGTGGGGGAGGGGCTCCAAAACAGGCCTGTAGCCCCCGAGGTACATCAGACCTGAATGAGAGAAGACGACAGAGGGAGGGAGAGAGAGAGAGAGAGAGTTGACGGTTATGTTGTAAAAGTTATAGCAGAAAGGAAACTGCTTCTTGTCCAAACACTGAAGAAAAGCTACAAGATAACAGAGTTCTGCCTCAATCATTTTCTATTGTTTTCTGTCACAGGTGTAGGACAACGGATTCTCACAATAAAAACACAAACATGTTTGAATTTCTTCGAGGTCTCTTGCCTAGTTTGACAGTAGACGGGTTTCCATCCACCTGTTTTCATGCTCATTTTCATTTTATGTTAAAAAGTTGAAATATTGCGAAGTTTTATGTTTGGTTGAGGATGAAAAGTTGGTGTATCATAGCGAATAAATCAGTTTGACTGGTGCTCTTTCAATCACATCAGCTTCTTCAAATTGTTTAATGGCACCAGACTGGAGAATTGAGTTTTTCTTGATGGGCGGGCCAAACTTCCAATATTTGCATGAAAACGAAATGTGCGTTAATTCACAATTTCTTTTGACAAATTTCTGGAAGTTTGGTAAAAAAATTTGCGCTACATCTGGATGGAAACTTGACTAATGTCTCTGGTATTTTCCATGACACTTCGCTGCCACAGTTGCTAAAAATCCTGATCCCAGAGGTTCGTCTCTGGCCCGCCTTTTCCTCTTCCTGAAAGACCACAGGCTCTGACCGGTGAGGGGGTTTTTATGTGTTCCGTGTCGGGGCCGAGCCACAGCACAAATCTAACGCACCGTGATCACTTAATCTGACGTAATGCAGGTTTCCATGCAAACGTGTCACAGGTTTTTAAACGGTCTTGAGGAAATCAGCAAAAGAAAATGCAAACAAATGCACGTTTCCATCCACTATGAAAAAATTAGGAGTTGCTTTGTCGAGATAAACAGCTGGTCGTGCTAATTTACCACTTGAGTGCCATCAAACCATTGCAGAAGAAGAAGACACAGCAAGATGAAAATATCAACACAGCGACGCACAAACCTCAAATAGTGAAAAACAATGTTGAAAAAATGATGGAAATATGAAATTATGTTGTGTATCAATTTGAGAAACGTTTCAGTCTTCCCATCGCTCCACACAGATCTGATGTTTTTCATCTCTTCAGTCGACGTTTAAGTTGCATGACTCATGTACGTAATTATTTTTTCTCTCAGCCTGTTTCCATTCGACATTGTCACATTTCACTTTTGTTGATACACCAACTTTTCCACCACAGCCAAGCTTAAAATGTTTTTTTGCGTTGAGTTTTTGTTGAGTTTTCTGTGTTTCCACTGGATAGAAACCTACTGTGAGCCTCTCCAAACATGCGGTCTGCTCTAACCTAGACCTGGCTGTGCCCCAATGGGACATTTCATTTTTGCGTTTTGATTTTCATCCACTGGTTCCAGCCTGGATACACATGAAAGACGCACTGAAATAAAGCGTATCTCTTGCATTAAGTGTTCAGCTGTCTCTTGGTATTTGTCAAGTATGTGTCACAAAAGGCATTTTTATATCAAAAACCCTTTCTATTCCCATCCTGTAAAATATTAAAATAGTTTCGACACCCCATATAACAGTCTGGTTTGCGCTGGCAGACTGAAGATCAGCAACACTACGGAGAGAACAATGATCAATATATACATCTTATTATCTTATCTTACATCTTGCATGAAGTTGCAGAGAACGTGAATACTTTACTTTTCTTAAACTGCGTGATACTTCCATGAAATGTGTATTTATAATCTTGTTTATTTAATAATTACATCATATTTCATATTGTTGCAATTTTGACCAAGATAATTTACACTGTACAAAACTACACACACATTAGGGCAGTTTGATTGATTTTGTGCACAGACACTGAAGCTCCTGGTCAGTAAATAGAAGTCTTCTTTAATTAGAAAAACCTTCAAAGTCTCAAATGTAAACCTCAGCAGTGGCCAAACAGCGTGGTTCTGACTCACAATGAATGATGGTAAATATCAGCCAGAAAAAAAATGCAACTTTCAGGGATTAAAATGAATTATTCATAGTTTTAGGTCTCAAACAGGGAGAATGTGAATAATGGATAGCATCCACAGTGAAAGCTCCCTTGTCTCCTTAACTGTTGTGTAACTTCAAAGTATGACAGATTGTAATGTAGGGTAGATTGGAAAGAGATAAACACTGCAGACTTCACTTTTCTATTTTTCTACAACTTTAAAAATGCTGCATCACATTTTTTAAAGAAATTTGATTAGTGAATTATACAGAACTGTACTTTTAGAAAATAAAAGTTAAACTGAGTCATGATTGGCAGCTAAATAAGTAATTAACAAAAGATGGGTGATTGTAACGATGGATGAACATAAAGGACAAAGTAAACTACAATTTGTCACCCTGCGGTCTCATCTACCATCTGACCATAACTCCATACCTAGTCCTCAATGTGCACTGGGCACGACTCCTCATCTGTCCATCCGAAAGAAGGCGAAAGAAGGAAAAGAGGCAGAGGAGAGAAAGAAACAAGGAAGAAGAAGAAGGATAATGTCCAGGAAAAGACAGCAGAAGATGTGAAGAATGACAGGGGGAAAAAAGAGGAGAGAAACAGAGAGATAACAGAACGCTTTTACGACACACAAAGAGAAAACATGTCACAACATTCACCATCAAACACCGAGGGGGTGATTAACAGGTTCAAGGGAATGATGGGAAATCAGGGTTTAAGAGTGGAGGAGACTGGAAGCTTCGTGGATGCGAAGAGCTAAAGGATGTGAAGGAAGTTTCAACTCAACTTTGTTGCTTATACTGTTTGCTAAATTAACCCTCTGGTGTCCGTCTGTGGAAACTGTTTTATTTACAGTGACACCACTTTATACGTCATGTAGAGACAGGCTGAGGAAATCAGTACAAAGTGCGGATGTGGGACTTTCAGACACGATCGCACAGAGTCTGCAGGCCACACAACATTTTTGAACAAAAGAATTAGTCATATTTTCCATGATTTATATGATTTATAATTTTAGTGAAAAGGGGATAAAATCCCTCTACATGTGTGACTGTATTTAAGTTTTATTTCTTAAATTTTTCTACTTAATCGGTGCGTATACATAGTAAAACAATAGTTTTTACAACCTTGAGCTGTTCTATAATAATAATTCAAGTGACTCTAACTAAAGATATTGTATATTTTCACATTTTGTGTTATATTTCATATATCTTGTGTTCTTAGCAGCTTGTAATTTTTCAGACTCATAGCAAAGTTTGTGCTGAAAAAGGGATACAATGCATGTGGGCCAGGAGCGGTTTAAAAGGTGTTTTACTATGAAAGAAATGAATGCATAAAAAATGTCAAAGATGGACTCCAGAGGGTTAAATAACCTGAATTTAGAAATACTGTAAATCCAGAAGAAAATTGAGACCTTTAGCTCTCATCACAGTATCGCACCAAGTGTTGAGAAGCAGGAGGAGGATTAGAGGAGGACAGGAGGGAAGATGGCGGGGTGTAAGAATGAGTAGCAGATGTTTGGCAAAGCAGCTCGGAGCTGGCAGACGCTGAACATGAACTTCGACTCTGGAATGGGCCAGACTCTTTCTCTTTCTGTCTCTCACACTAACACACTCGCACACGAAAACAGAAAACACAGCATGCGGAGAGCACTCGTCAGACACACAATAAGATGCACTCACTCACTCACGCACACACAAACGCACACCAGGGCTTCAGCTAACGGGGAGAGGAGGGAGACAGTGCATAGCTAACCGGTACTGACAAAGCAATGAAGCACCACAACACCAAAGGGTAGGAATGAAGAGAAGAAGGAAGGCTCCAGATCTTCATGCTGGGCAAAGATACGTCTAAATGTCCTCTCTGGTCACCAGCTGCTACTAAATCTGTCCCAATATAAGAACTCATCTGTTTCTCTTGTTTCTCTCTAGCTTTAATCTAAATTTGCATGTTAGCATAGAAAGCTAATGTGTCAGAAATCCTTAATTCTTCTGACTCGTGAATCATGCACTCCTCCGTTTTCCTTTACTCCTGTATCTCTCCTCACCCCCTCCCCCTCACCCCCAGTTCTCAGCTCGCATCGGTCCATGTTCGAGAGGTTGCCACTCACCGGCGAATCGGCTGTCGGGAGCCTGCTCATTATCCAACCCCAAAGAGGGCGTGTCACAGAGGGCGACGCCCTGATTGTTATTGGCCAACTCTGGACACCTGCTCCGCCCACCTGCAAGCGAGGGCAAAGGTCAAACAAGAGCAGCCAGGCACAGCGGGAGGAGGGGGAGGAGAGGGGACAGGCGGAGTGAGGGAGGGAAGGATTAGGGAAGGTGTCAGAGGTGGAGGGGTGAGGTTGGCCATGCTGGAACGGCAAGAGTAAAGTAATAAATGTTAAAATATTTCTGCAGTTGATCACTGTGAGTCTAAATTAAGTTTTATTTTTGGCCTTCATAAATTCTAACAAAAAATATATAATTTTATGATCCAGTGATTCTCAAACTGGAGAGCGCACAAGACCAGGGGGTTAATGTGGAGAGCAGGTAAAGCTGCAAGAAACTGACTCACGAAGGAACAATAAGCGAACAAGGGTGTTCTGATGCTTGCGAGGCTCATTTTGCAGGATATAATTAGACAGAATGAGATGTACGAAATGGACAGCTTGTTCACAGGGAGGAAAATATACACGGGGCACAGCAGGCGAGATTTTTCTGTCCAAAAACTGGCAGTTTTGGCAGTTTAACTAATTAAATTATAATGCTAACTTTTTATTGGTTGATAAAAATGTATTTAATTTTTACTGTTTGTTTCCAAAAGGAAATTGCATGTTATCTGCAGTATAAAAAAAGTAACCATAGTTGTTCCTGTAAATAAATTTGTTATGAAAAATGACTACGCCAGGGTTTCTGCAGGGTTCACACAGACTTTTTAAGACATTTTAAATGCAATTTCATACGTGTTTCATCATCACTCTAGTCACAGTACGAAGGTACGGTAGAAAACCAGAAGAGAGTGAAGCCTGCAATTATTCACCAAGTGCATTAATTCATTCATGTCACATTTTTGTCAGTATTTTGCAGCTGTATATCACAATAATCTACTTCATCTATTAAACAAAAGCTTATATAATACATTTTGTAATTTGAAAATATAAAGCTTTATTATTAATATAAATGGTTGGGCAATACAATGACATGAGACCATCGGAATTTAATATAATAATATAATTCAATATAAATGTGTTAACCATCAAACATGTTGCCATACCATTTATATGGTGGTAGCTGTCACTTCAGTAACCTGTGCTAGGTTATTGTGGGCAATGTTGCAAATCAATGAGCAGAACTGCTTTATGGCAATATTTGATTTTATCTGATCAATATATAGAAATAATATAAAGATAAAATTATATATCAGTGTGATTTACAATTACCTCGGTTTGTCAGGTATTTCATTCCTAGGATTAGCAAAAGACAGACGTTATTTCATCCACAAAGAACTGTTTCTCAATTCATTTTCCAGAAAAGCGTGCTGTGTCATGACGTACAGTATCTTGATATCTTGATATAAAATTACATTAACTGTGATAGAGGATTTTAACCATATTGTTCACTCTAAATCTTTTCAAACCCACACTACACCACATATTAATTAACTGCAGTTATTGTTCCATTTGCCCACCATGTTCACTTTCTGAAGATTTAAACTACTCACATTTAGTGCCTAAATGGATACAACACAGATTTCTTTTTAATGAATTTAAGTCATTTATGCAAAACCGCCTGACTTGAATTGTTTTAAATTAGCTGCCATTTTTGTTTTAAAGCTGCCACTCTGTTGTCCTATTCTCAATTTCTCAGCCATCACTCAACACAGTGTTTGCTGATACATTAATAAGACACACTGGGGTGAATGATGATCAGATTTTGGAGTCTAGTTGAATAAGAAAGAAATATAATAACATAACTCAATAACTCAATAGATTTGTCTGCCTTCTCCAGCATGGCCACTTAATAAATACTGACATGTTTAATATGTGCACGTGCCTCATGCCTGCAGCAAGCCTGTGTGTGTGTGTGTGTGTGTGTGTGTGTGTGTGTGTGTGTGTGTGTGTGTGCGTGAGTGTGGAACTAATGAGGAGGAACTGGCAGAGATGACTGAATGATTGGCAGCTCAGCACAGAGACACAGACAGGGCACATACAGAAGCTGTCTGGCAACGCCGGTGCAGATGCACACACATGTGCGTGCAAACATACATCCTGTAGTGCGTGTGCATATTCACAGTCTGTCAGGCAGCACAGGTCCGCTCGTCTCCTAAAGAACTGAAAGGTCCTTCAGTAACTCACAGGTTCTCATAGATTGTTTCAGTCTGGCCCGAGGTGTCAGAACTCACACACACACGCACGCACGCACGCACGCACACACACACACACACTTCATACTGTTGTGTTTGCTTCAAGCCTACTGATCATGGACTCACACTCTCCATATACTACATCACTTTCTTTTATCCTCCATCTCCATCTCTCTCTCTCTCTCACTCACATACACACAAACAAACACACACACACACACACACAGGCACATAAACATTCAGCAGCAGTGCAGATGGAGCACGACGAAGCATCATGATGCAGCAGGTAAAGCAACAGAGGCGGACTGCAGTGCTTTGTGTGCAAAAAAAAAAACAAAAAACACATAAATGACACACTTCATAAAAAATACATTAAATACACAAACACACATACAGTCCACACAACCATTCATGTACACAGGCGCAGATCATGCAAATGCAAAAAGGTCAGTAGCCTGGTGTGCTGCAGAACCTCATCTGAACAACACAGGAAGCCGGTACGTGCTTGTTTCCTGGAAGGATGCTCTGATCGATCGGAATTTCTAATGAAGGACTTGTTTACCGCATGAGCAAATAAATAAATGTCACTCAAACAAGAGTTTTCACTGCCTGATCCATTAGCTGTGTAACACTTCAGGAGCCGGATCCTCCTCAGGATGCAGGACTGATATCAGTTTAGAGTTGGGGATCAGAGGGGGCATGCTGCGTCACTCACTGCAAAGCTGCCTTATTTATGTGCTGTGAGTTATTAGCTGGCTTGCTAATGTTAGCTACTGATAAGCCTAGAATCAGGAGACACTGGAGCTTACACTGAGCTAGCTGTTACGGTCAGTAAAGGTCTTGGTCTGAAAATACAGACCTTTGGAGGATACGGTCCCTGAACTGGTGCACAGCCTGAGGTAATTAACGTGAGCTAGGACTATTGACTGTTGGGGCAGTATCTTTGGGCTGCTGGTGTCTTACAGGCTCTGTGAGCTAGTGAGAGATTATTTTTGGGTGCAACGGATTATAAATGATCATAGTGTTAGAGTCAGATGTGAAGTTGCCAGGTCTTGCCACATCCAGTCCAGCTTAATGACCACAAAACCCAGACTATAGTGGACCAACCAGTGATCAGCAGTGGACTGAACACATATTGATGATATGATCATTATAATGGGAACTGTATGACTTCAAACAGCCTGATCAGAGCATCCCTAGTGAATACATTTTGGTCTGAAATTACTTTTGGTCATTTCAATATTTTTTGAAGAGCTCAGTGTTCACTGCAAAGTAGAAAAAGGTTCTAGTGCACACATACTGTATGAGAAGCCATTCACCTCAGTTCAGACACTGCATGTTGTGGTGGTTTACGTGCATTTTGAAAGGGACTGCCCCATCTAGAGGACGATATCTGACATGGGAGCCCTTTACTTTGAAAGGGTTGCCATTACTCGGCCATGATTCAAAAAGATTTAGTGACGGCAGCGATATATTAGATCGACCACTCAGTCCATCATATATAGTTTGTATGAAAAGGTGTATGTCTTTTTCACATGGCCCAGAGAGTGCAACAAATACAAAGGGAGGTGAGAGGTCGGGGGTGAAAGGTGAGGGATGGTCACCATAGTTACCTTTCCCATTAGACGGGGAGGAGCAGTCCTCTTCTGTCACATCATTTCCCTGGAAGAAAGATGTGTTTCATAAAATTAAATTAAACACATAAAATGAGCATTAATCACACTGTTCAGCAAACATCTGTGTACTACAGTCACCTCCGAGTCCTGCTCCTCTACAGCCACTGAGTAGTTTTGTTCCTTTGGCTCCCTGGAAAATTCCTGAAAAAAAAAAAGAGCGGAAACACTCAGATGATGAGACGACACATTTCTGTTAAATTGCTAGATGACGCTGCAAATTCCTCCTCCCTCCATCCTCACCCCGTCCTGCTGCGACGGTCCTCGGCTCTCCATGGGGGCGTCCTGGTTCTCCTCGCCCTCCACGTCGTCTCCCCCTTCCTCCCCCCCGGGCTCGCCTTCGGCCCCGGCCAGGTAGGACCCTGACATGGAGGACATGGTGTCAGTGCTGATGTGGGAGTGCTGCGAGTGGGACGAGGCCATGGACATCACTGACTGGGCCAGGCTGCTGCTCACTGGGTCTGGCAGACAGACGGAGACACACATCACGGTCGGGCTCAGGGGGTCGGAGGATTTAATTTCTTTGGTTGACAGGTGAGAAAAGTCGATGCCTACCCTCATAGAACTACCAACTGCAGACACGTATTATTGTCATGTTAAAGAAATAGTTCAACACTGGTGGAAATACGCTCATTCCCTTTCTTTCTGAGATAAGATGAAAAAGATTGACACCACTTTCATGTCTGTGTATGGAGGTTGAGTAGCCTAGCTTAGCATAAAGACTGGCAGCAGAGGGAAACAGCTAGCCTGGCTCTGTCCAAATTCAAAAAGCTGCCAACCAGGGTAGTCACGTCGACTTCCTGGAGCCTTGTCACCACAGTCAGATTGCCAAACCAAATCTAATGCTCACCAGCTGTATCTAGCAAACCAAACAACAATCAGAGACGCTAAACAAATGGTGGTGGATGTATAAACTGTTGTTTGTCAAAAAATAGCTCACATGAATATGTACTTTTTTAAAGAACACAAGATTAATGTGCGAGTTTAGAGGTGCTGTTAGGTGTGTTTTTGAGCTTTAAACCGGGTCAAGCTAGTCATTTCCCCCTGCTTTCAGTCTTTATGCTAAGCTAAGCTAAGCTAACCGGCTGCTGACTTCAGCTCCATCGGTCTTCTGATCTAACCATTGAAAATAAAACGAATAAGAAAAATACTGTAAATTACCTTCAATTAGGTTTTTATTTTCAAAACTCACGGGTGATTTCTAAAGCTCCCATTGTGCCAAACTGTTAGACTAGATTTATCCCAGACCTCTGTCAGCAACACAAGGTGGAAGCCTGGCTACACAAGGACTGCCTTTGTAGAAGTCGATAAACATGTTTGAAGTTATTATTTTCATTGAGCCTTTCATTCAAGCTGAAATAACAGTCCTCTCTTCCTGTTTTGTGCCAAGGAGCCATCCGACAGTTTTCCCATAAAGTCTGATCCAGTGGCACCAACATAAAATGCTGAGGTGGGACAAGCGTATGATTTATTTATGTTAAAATGCTCCAAGCAGCGTCTGCAGCTCTTTCCATTTTGCTGTCTTGCTAAATTTAAGAGGTACTGAACATTACTGTTTAATCTGACATTAATTTAATGAAGAAAGTTAAACAAGGAGAAACAAACGGCATGTGAGCTGCAGTCTCGATTTAAAGTAAGATAAGACAAAGAGTATTAACCCCATGCAGGGAAAGTGTATTGCACACAGCAAAAGGAATGACAAGAATAGCTGCATACTAAGATGAGTAAGTAAGATAAGCAGCCAAAAAATTCAGACATGGAGTAAGTACCTTTGGTGGCTTCATCTGTCTGTTACAGTTCTGCCTTTCTGACATTCAGAAAATGGAGATGGGAGCTGCGCATCATATTTGTACAAGGGAATGGAAAACAGCAGCGAGTTGACAAGTTTAATGATACAAAGGAAGAAGAGTGTTGTTTATTCTCTCACAGACTCCATTACTGATGTGTGAAACACATTCTGCAATTGAAGCCATAATTAATGAGCATCATGAGCACAGGGGACACTTGCCTCTGCTTTTCCAGTAAATCTCTTAATAGGAGGAAACAGTGCACAAGCGTTTAAAGACACAGCATTAAGTTGGGACTCTCGTTTGATTCCTAGTTGCTCACATGCTATATGTAAACCTTTATACTGGATATTAATTCACAGAACCATACAGCTGGCAAGAATTAAAACCCTGGTCATATCATGAAATTGAAAAATTGTTTTTAAAGACTGATCTGAGAGGAATCCCATCTTGAAATTGTGTTCTGTGGTTTATAAAACAGATTTTTCACTTTTTTTGTGTATAAGAAATGATAATTCAGTGAAAAGTTTATTACAGCGATGTTATGAGGCAGAACAAGATGAGATTAACCTCTCTGCATGTTTAACCTTAGGTTGCTTAGTCATTGTTGCCAGATTGGGCGGGGAAAATTTGCTTTAGGTGTGCTGTAATAATTTAGGATTTTATTTGTACCATTTAGCTAATTTCAACCAATAAAAAGTTGCGGTATAATCCAATAATAATCACTTTGTCATTATGGGTTATTGAGTGTAGATTGATAGGCAAAAATGGAAACATAAAATTATATCTTAAATCTACAACACAATAAAGAGTATAAAAAGCGAAGGCGTCTGAATAGTTGTGATGGTTGAGGTTAGTGGCGAGGGAATGCATTATGTCAGTGAGGGTCCTTCCAAGTATAGAAAGACGAACTAGAGTGTGTGTGTGTGTGTGTGCGTGTGCGTGCGTGTGCGCGTGTGCGTGTGTGTGTACCTTCAGGGGAGGTGATGGTGGAGGAGAGTGGGGTTCCTGTGCAGGATGACTGGTCGATGGCTCCAGACGAAGAGAGAGTCAGGTTCTCACTGTCTGGAGTCACTCCACACTGTAAAACAACAACAGCAGCAATGAGAGAGGAGCTCACAACACCACAGCATCCTCACAAACACACACACAAACACACACAAACACACACACACACACACACACACACACACACACACACACACACACACACACACCTCCTGTTGGTCCACTACAAGTTTGTGGCGACAGGCCTCCGATTCACTGCAAGACTTCTCATCCTCCTCCTCGGGAAGCACAGACGAATTCTGGGAAAGTGACCTGAAATAAACAAGACAATGGACTAGCTTCAGATGAAAATAACTGGAGTGGGTTTGATGTACTGGTCTGTAGTAAACACTGAAATAACAGAGGAGGATAAAAACTCAAAGAAAAAAAAAACCATATGATCTCAGGAGAAAGAGGCTGTAATCAACAGTACCGTAAGATGACTCTGCACAACTCTGTATTGTCACAACAATACCAAGTGATTCACATGTCATTTGGCTTATAAAAATATCAACCTGAGTGCACTCTGTGAACCATTTGTTGCTTTTTTTAATAACCTTGAAGCCCAAAATTGCACTAAGTGCATCTTCACTGACACATCTGACTGTGATTGCAGTAGAAATAATTCCCAGAAAAGGAGAGATGACAAGAAAACACTCCTATGATTTTACGGTAATGTCCCCGAGACATCTGCTACGCTAAGCAGAAAAACACAAACATCAGCTGTCACTGAAACTCATTATCTGGCCGAGGCCTGACTCACTTTGAACCACTCTTCTTGAGTTTGAGTCCCTGACTGGAGTTGGAGTGGTCTAGAGGGGAGAGGGAGCGCGCCGGTGCCGGGTGGGGCTCGCTGCTGTATGGAGGAAGCGCTCCGGAGACGTGGCTGGGACCGGAGTGGAGAGGAGCGGGGGCCACCGAGGAGGTGTTGAGGGGTCCGTTCAACGCCTCCAAGAGAGACACCACTTCGTAGCCTGGGGGGATGTGCTCCGACGCCTGCACACGACATGAGGACAGAGGATGTGAGTTTCCCGGGACTGTGGATGCCCATTATTTTTTATATATATATTTCATATATTATTTTATTTTTTTATATATTTGGTGTCTCACCGAGTGTTCCTCTGAGTCTGAGGTCTGTGAAGTGATGACGGGGTTAAAGCTGGTCGGTGACAGAGGACTGAGTTTCTTCCTCATGGCTCGGATCTGCAGCAGAGCTCTGAACGCTGGTAAAACAAGATGATAATAAAAGAGATTTAATCAACACATATATGTAATAATAATTGAACTGTCAGTAACATTCACACTGATATAGACATGCACAATTAGTATAAAAATAGGCCAAGAGGAAACAGGAAGAGATCATTTCCAAAACATTATCAATTTTAGGGAAACAAACGATAGCCAGAGATGATGATTTGACATCTTTAAATACAGTGGATATGTGTTAGACCGTCATCAGTTATTTTGGACTTTCATCAGTTTTAGACACCAGGGGAAACATTTACTAAGCTTGTCACAAATTACCACTGGGGTGACAAATTTTGCATCGCTGCTATTTGTCAATGCAGCAAGGCATTTACTAAAACTACAGAAGTAAATGAAAGCTGCATGTGAGGAAATATTAGTTAATAATTATCTGCTGTTTTCAGCTCAATTCCTGCAAACAGATAAAAAAAATAGTATAATAACCGTCTTAGTACAGTATTAGTGGCTGCTGCAGTGGCTATTGCATTGGACAGAACCTGCTGTGAAACATTCAATGTCAGGAAAAATAAGCCAAAAAAGAAAAAAAGAACAGTAAAGTAATGATGCATTTTTTATTTGTCTATCTCTCTCGCTCACTGTTCCTGTCTGCTACAGTCTCTCTCCCACTGTCTGCATCCGTTAAAACATTGCAGATTTTACACTTGCTTTTCCTAGACGTTACACTACAGACCACGTTTCCTCTGCTGCAGTGGTCAGTCAGCGGTGAAAAATCAGTTAGCTATTGTTGTCTGCCTCGGTGCAGGAACGCCTTAAAATACATATTGCATGACATCAAACACGCAACTTTTATTTTACTGGTGTTTTTTCAGGTTTTCAAAAGCATTTCTCAAACAGCTGGCGTCTCATTTTGGGAAGAGGTTAAAGCGAGCTCACGCAGTCTGCAGATGGGGCAGCAGTTGGCCTGGTAGCGCAGCGTGTCTGCACAGGCGTTACAGAGACACAGGTGTCTGCACGGCAGGATGAGTGTGTCTCGCACATCCGACAAACACACCACACACTCGGCGCTGTTGTCACTGATCTCATCGTCAGCAACCTGGAGACAAAAAAAAAAATTAAACTTTAGGAAGAAAGAGAACCGTCACTTCTGATGCACTCAAAGAGGAGCAGATGGAAAGATCTCTCCTGTCATCTGATACTTACCTTTGATTCTTGGCTGTTGTATTTGTTCTCTATCCCATAGATCTCCTGCAGCAGATAACTCACTCCATCCACCTGGGAATAGGAACATGTTAAAGAATAAAGGCAGCAGGTCTTGTGGGTGAGGTGTGATGTTCAAAATAAAGCCTTGGTGTATCTTTGTCTTTCAAAATCATAAAAAAAAAAAAAGTTACACAAAAGGAGGAAGGAAGGAAAGAGAGAAGGAAAAGCGTATTGTGTATTTACCACTTGTTTCTGCTTCAGAGGCTTCACACAGTAGCTCCCGTCCATGTGCTGCAAAAGAAAGAAACCGCTGTACATTATATTATTTAATTTATTATTATTTTACGTTTCTTTAATTCATATACTGTACACAAACCCCTACATGTTCATGTCTCAGGTCAGATATGAGGTTTTCCTCTGCTGCAGTTTCCTTTAAGAAATGAGGGTTTGGAGTCTTTGCTAATGAGCAAGAAAAATAAAGACGTTACGCCACACACAACCCGCAGTTTTAACTGCAGTAGCGTTGTTAGTTTAACATCTATTGATTATTAATCATCCTGTCTAGAGTTAGGTTAGCCTACAAAAATAAGCTTGGCACTTTGGTCAATGTAATATCATGGTACCAGTTATCATAAAATCTGTATTTATCTTAAATGTTTTCTTTTCGTGCTTCAAGGGGCTAAAATGTGAAATTAATTTCAGAGGTACTTCTAATGAAAACTGCCGCCGCAGCCTCGGCACTCTCACCTGTTTCTCAGTTTTTTTCTTTAATTAATATATAAATATAAGTTAAATATCTCTTGAGAGCAGCAGTAGTCAACTTCACAACCACCACCATATCATCAATAATGATGTATTTAATCAATACATATCATCACTGATGCTGTGAATTGTTTCATCATCGCCAGGCTGTACAAGCCTTTACACTGTTATCAGTTATTCATAACCCAAAGATATTACATTTACAGTGATATAAAACTGAGAGAAGCTGAAAACACCCAGATTTTAGAAGCTGGAACAAGAAAATGTTTAAACTCAAACCATAAATCAATTATTTCTCTATGTGAGAGCCTTGGCAGTGTTTGCACCACAGCAAATTCCTGCCACAATTCCACCGGCTCTGATAAAGAGCTTCTTTCTTACCTTTTCAAATGTAGCCAGCAGTATGTGAGAGTGTCCCAAATGTTCTGCAGAGATTGAAGCCAGCGGACAATAAATTAATGCTTAAAATTGTGCGACTGTACTTTCACTCCCGACACACAAACACACAGAAACTCACCTTCTCCCTCGTCTACAACCGCCTGCACCACCATGGGGAAAATCTCCTTGTCCATATCAAACAGCAGCTGCGGGGAAAACAGGGAGGGAGGAGATTAGCACAGCAGATATGTATCCGTCAATGTGTAGAAACTGCTTTCACATCGCAGCGCAGCCTCATACAGGCGTGTGCTTCAGCATTCAGCCTACAGACAGACAGATGGCCTACCTCCTCGTCGGCCCATTCGCTGAGGTTGACGGTGTGTGAGGGCAGACAGAACTGCTGGCAAACTCCCCTCTTGAAGTGCACCGTCTCAGACTGCAGAGAGCTGTCCTGGGGAAGGTAACTGCAGGAAACACACACACACACACACACACACAGACACACACACACACACACACACACACGCACACACACACACACATACAAGATTTGGGTGAACGATAGATCAGTCAGCGTATCTGTATCATAGACAGCTCAGCTCTTTATAGATACATGATGCACTAATAGAGAAGATATGGGAGACCATGCTGGTATTACTTATGAGTGTCTGCATTAATATTCTGTGTTGACGGTGGAGAAACTATATTTAATGGGAATCGATAATGTCTGGCTGATATTAAAGTGGATTTAAAGGGTACTCCGCCCATTAAGTACCGCATAATAGACACTTTTAAAAACAGCATTGATATCTTTTTTCTTTTTTTTTTTTTTAATTGCACCCATCCTTCTTTGGCAAAACCTGGTGCTTACATTTCCCACGATGCAACTTGACTAACAACAGTTCCATTATATATTCGAGCGTTTTATGCTAGTAGAGACAAATGCTGCCTGGAGCCTCAAACAGAGATGAAGTTGCTAGACTTCACTTCTTTACCAGATTTCTTTTTAATTTCCAAACTCTTAGTCTTCAGACGCGACCGGCAGATGTTGCACAGCTCCCTCTGGAACCACAAAAGACTTTATAAATATGCAGTAGTACACCACAAGACCTAAACAGACTTTAATTTGTAAAATTGGTGGAGATAGTCTGCATCAGCGCCATGAATTTCCCCCAGGGGATCAATAAAGTATATATCTATCTATGTATCTATATCTATCTGGTGGATCAGAATCCTACACAGAGGCTTTGGAGGATGCACCTGCTGTAGACAAATCGCAGTGGGAAAAATGTTTAAAAATGTGCCAAAATAAATTTGACACATTTTCGACATTTGAGTCAAAGTAATTTGTGCTCATCTCGAGTGACTGCAAACTCTTGATTGCAGTGTGCAGCGGTAAATCAGCACACGCATCAATAAAGCTGTGATTTTAAGACGTCTCAGTCTACACAACATAGACAGAGTCAAAACAGGCAAAATCTACTGATTAAAACTAGAGATATGGATGATTGTTTTTTTTTTTTATTTTAGCAAATATTTTAATATTGTGCATCCAATGTTATTAGTCCATCAGAAAACACACTTACACCGGCACTCCATTGTGAAACTCCTCTATGGCCTGGTAGTAGATGGTGATGGCCACCTGTGTGTCAGCGTCGAAAGTGAACTCTACGTTGTAGCAGGCTCTGTTCTTTCCCGCCGCCTCATCACCCGGCAGCTTCAGGTCCTCACTGCACCTAGGGGGGAGGGAAAGGAGACGGGAGAGAAAAGGGGGGAGGGGGGAAGGTTTTTTAAGCAGAGGACAGAAATAGGAGAATGATCCAAACTCCATTCACCGATGAAGAAAGTGCATTTATAAAAGAGGAATTAGATCTCTGAGCTTCATGCTTCAATGATCTGAAAAAGGTGGATTTAGGTGGATGTTAGAAGTTATGTAGTGACCATATTCAAGTCATATATATATATATATATATATATATATATATTCAGTCAATCATTATTTTCTTGACATCTTTTGATATTTCTTATGTGAGTCTTTGTCCTGTTTCCAGGAATAAGATATGTTGTGCTTTTGTTTTAGGCTTGAATTTTGAAACTGGTTATCATATGTAACACTCAATTATGCCTTAAGAAAATAAAAGCTCAAATTACAAGAAAAAACATGTATGATTCTGCACTATCCCTTCAATTTGTTGTTGTGGTTTGCTCCCTAAATATAGCTCAGTTGGCATAAATTTAGACAACAGTGGTGTAATGAGGGGTTACTCATGGGTGTAGGTGGGTGGAGGTGCGTACCGTACGAGTCGCAGTGTGTCCTTACGAATGTTTATAAGGCTTCGTAACGTCTTTACTGGTTCCTGAGGTGGAGGGGCTGCGTACGGGAACTGAAAACAAAAAAAATAAATAAAAAAGGAAACAACAATTTGTAGATGTAAAATACAAGTTAAGAGACTGAAGGGTAGCAGTGTTCAGCTTTCCTCAACTGCCCCGACATTCCTCTCTTTACCGCAGGGAATTCAGGGTTACACGATGACCACGGCTGCTCCAGGTTTAACCTTAACACAAGAGTCTTGTCAGCACCAGCGGGATCCGTGCTGACAAGTGCTGAGCCGGAGCAAAAAATTCTGCTCAGACTGTGTCTTTCCAGGGACAAGGCTGACACTTCAGACACTGTTTGGCACTTTTCTGCACACACAGGACCACAGGAGTCCAGGGTCAGACGGAGTGTGTCTTCATTTTCAAGCCAGTAAGAAGGACCAGATGGGCGAAGTTTGCCGCATCTGGAGATTTTTGATAACATCAAGTCACAGATAAGGATGTAAAATACCTTCCATGAATGGATAAACTTTCTGCTTTTTCACTGATCAACCACACCTTTAGCAATAAAAACCTACGTTAAAAAAAACACATCACACAATCTTTGAACTTGACCCAATCTGTGGTTCACGTCTTGGCACTCTTTTGTTGTGTGTTTGAAGCCAGAAGTCGCTGACTGAGCGTAAAGGGAGAGAGGAGGTGGTTTGAGGAAACATTCAGGATGTGGTCAGATACCTCCACACTACAACCCCTCATCTGTGCGTGGGGATAAGGGTGTTTGTGCGGCTCTGAATGGCACCATATTCAGTACTATTACACATCTGGGCTCAGCAGGAGTCACGCCTGTAAACCACACAAACAAACACACACACACACACACGGGGTAACAGATGCTGAAAAGAGCCATTCACTGGAAACTCACAGGCAACACTGTAGGTCTTATATTAGAAATCGGTCTGTATTTTCTCACACATGCTCAAAGTAAATTAAAGAGATTAGACAGTTTTCCTTTTCATATACAGGTGAGTATTTTTCTAAGAATTCAAGTCTCTTGTGACTTAATAATCATAAATTGGACAGACAAGCTAACGAAAGTAGACATTTTCTGAAAAGATCATTTCAACCACCATGCTAGAGGCTCTGTGAGGCTGTACTAGATACAGTGGCACTCTGAGCTAAATGCTCAAGACATGCTAACCTGCCCACAATGACAATGCTAACGTGTTGATATAAGGCACGTATAATATTTACCACGCTCTCTAACTTACTTTAGTGTGTTAGCACGCTAACATTTGCTAATTAATGATTAAAAAAAAAATGCTTCATCCCAAATCCATGCCACATACTATGCAATATACTGTATGCTACACACTATAGTCAGTGGTAAGTGTTATGAAAAATTAACATACTTAACCGCTTAACAGCAGGATTCATCCTCTTGGGACCATGAATATACAAAATTTCACTCTAATAATTGTTAGTTGATCCAAAAGTTGAGATATTTCAATCTGGACCAACTGACAAACCAACATAGCCATCTTTAGAGGCTAAATCCATTCTGGATATTCCTGGGCTTCGGACAGGAGTTTCTGAAAATCCCTAAACATAGCCCCATCCATTATCATATTTGTATAGTGGTGCAGGAGACCGAGAACACAACAACTGCGGTTGGGTTTATGATTCCACAGCACCATCTGCTTAGAAACCACCACACATTATATAATGCTGGTAAAGCTTCAGTCAAACATACAAGTAAAAAAAAAACACCATCACCAGCTGAATTCTGTGCCCACAGGAGGATTATAAACACCCACATAATCGGGAGAAAAACTGCACTCCTAATTTTAGCCCCAGTCTAGACAGAAACAGCAGTGCGACTGAGATTAGTACACAGAGAGATGGAGCCGAGTCTCTCCATATCAGCTTCACTTAGTCAAACACTTTAACTCCCTCCAAGCCGTTCGGTCTGTGTCAAATTCCCTCTTTCCTCCCCGGACATGAGCTCTTTTTGATCTGCAGCTCTCATTAGTTTGACCTTCAGGTTCATGATGAGGTTGAACGAAGCCTCCGGAGGAACTGTCCCTTATCAACGTTACTGCACGGGGAGCAGGCAGACTGTTATTTCCATTTTAATTAGCTTGACAGGATGAGACGTTGAAATAAATTTCAATCAGTGACAGTGTGAAAGCCTGATAATTGCCACTGCAGGAGTCTCGGCTGCAAAGACAGCCACACTTACTGAGGCTGAAATGAGTAGTTGATTAATCAATTAGGTGATCGACCAAGGGCCAAAAAAAATGCTGTTTTTGCTTCTCAAATGTGATGATTTGCTGCTTTTGTCTGTTTTAGATCGTTTTAAATTAAATGTCTTTGTCAACTGTTGGTTGAACAAAACAAGATATTTAAAGACTTGGCATTTTTCACTTTTTTCTGATGTTTTATAATCTAAAAAAATCTAACTAAAAAAAAAAAAATCAACAAATTAATCAATAATGAAAATAATTACCAGTCCCATGCTGAGATTCTTTCTTAATTTTTCCCTTCTTTTTATATGTACTTTTAATTTATAATTTTGCAACTTCATTTTAGGCCAACATGGGCAAGTTTTCCTTAAAATGCTAAAAGAAAATGAGAATTTTAATTCAAACATCTACAATTTTCTTGCCAACTGTGTAAACTCCATCCGCTGAGGAAAATCATGTGATGTGATTGAAAGCTCCAGAACAATTACTAGGCTAACGTGGTGAGATCGTTTGCGTTTTTCACATTTGATCTAGCTGTTAGTGTGTAAGAATACCTACCGCTACAGGTCTGGTCCCCAGGAAGTTAAGGTCTGTGTTCTCCCCGAACAGGTAACCCTCCGGATGGGTGGAGTCAAACTTCTCTCCTCCCATGATGAAATGGCTGGCGAAGTAACTCCCTGCACACAGACAGATTCACTTTTAAACACGAGAAACTCAATACACATCACCTGAGATTAGAACAATCATTTGAAGGAAAGAGAGCTAAATAAAGAACACAGTGTGGCAGCTGTGAATAATTTGGTGCATTTAAACCTGCTTTGAATTCCTTTATAGGGTTGTTATTCTTTTATTCCGTCTTAAAATCTCATTTATAGAGTGTTGAATCAAGACAAACTATACTTAAAAACTGGAAACAGCATATTTTGTACATTGTCAGAAACATTGGTCTCGTTACCTTTCAAGACTTAGCTTTTCCTTAAACACAAAAATTCTGCCGTTAGAAACTGTCCTGACGGTCTCTCGAAACAAGACAGCACGGGCAGATTGCTGTGCTACATTATTATGTTTTATGTAGTAAAGAAAATATTGGAAACAATTTTTTCTTTATTTGCCTGGTTCCAGATCTTTGAATCTCTGCCCTCATCTCCAGTGTATTTCAGCTACTTGAACAATAGAGTTTAAGAAATATAAATTGACAAACGGGTTAGAACTGACATTTTTTTTATAGTCATTCTATTTCCAGTTGCAAAGCCGGAGCATCTGGCACTTCACTGGCATGAAACATTAACATTTCCGTTTAATATTTGAACCATTCAGCTGGCACCGTTAGCCACAGATACCTCCTGTCACCACTGATACGGCCAAATAATCTCACACTGCTTGATCTCCAACACCAAAACCAACAAAGAGTGAGCTGTACAGGCATTTATCCTGGAATAAACAGGTACAGTTGGCAGGTGAGACTAAAAATGATGGGAAAAGCTAGAGCTGCTTTATTTCAAGAAGACAAACGAAGCCCTGAAAAAGACTGGTGAAGGTTTACTGACTGAATTTGGGTCATCGGCATGCAGCTTGTCCACCTGTTTACCAAGAGTATGGTTTCATGACAACAAGACTAAATAGATGTTCTGCCCTTTAATCACAGGGTGGGCTAATATCATAAGACTGTAATGGTGGTTTCGAGGCTTTAAATACATGCTGGACGGTCAAAGTCATGTTCCTGCTGGGAGGGCATCGCTGAGCTGAATCAGACTCCGTTTTCCTTCACACTTATTAATACTGGAGAGAATGAAGGGGTTTGGATGCTCTGACCTTAAAGCTCCATAACATGACAAATCATGAACTAAAAAAAGCTCCAATGACGATGCTATCTCTCCCCCTCTCTCTCTCTCTCTCTCTCTCCCTCTCTCTCTCTCCCTCTCTCTCTCTCTCATTACCTTATTGTTATTTACAGCAGGTGGGAGAGGCAAGCTGGGTCGAGGCTTTGTCACCAGATCCCACAGACAGGAACTGGGTCTGATAGATCAGTTTCACCGGCAGCCATCGCCACCACCTTCCTCCCCTCCCAACACCACCACCACCACTCCTTCAGGCTGCAACCAGGACCATTATAGCACAAATTCATAAATCCTGTGACTAATTCCCCTGAACTGTGGTGAGAGGAGGGCTAATGGCAGCTACAAGTCAACATTTTTTTTCTTCCCTTCCATTCTCTCTCCAGTATATAATATCACTATAAATCTAAGATATCATTGTGATATGGGTATATAGCCCAACACATCACGTCTACGTACAATAAAACACTACTTATATTCCCTGATTCTATTTCACATCTCATTTTTTGAGAGATTTTAATTTACTTTATGTCTTTGCTTATGATAGAAAGGCAATAACATTATATCTTCACAATACGATTTTGACGGTAATATTGGATTAGTTCTAAACCCCAATAGGGAGCTGAATGCAGCACTGCAATCACAAAATGTCACATAGAGGAACAATACAAAGACAAATTCAAAACACACATAGGTCAATTAAAAGTCTAAAGAACAGTCTGTGACCTGACCATATAGCCAGCCCTACTCTTTATAGATAGTTGGGTTGGCAATTGTCTGAATTGTTCTGATACAGGTTCCATTGCACCGCCTGATTTTAAGTAATAATATGAAAACAAAAACCTTTATTTAATCTTAAGCCTCTCAAATCCACCAGTGTGTATGTTATCTTAAAGCAAACAGCAGTACAAGCTACAAGCTTTGCCTTAATACTACACAATATATATTTAGCAAAGCTATTATTTTAGTTAGTAAATAACTGATCAAAGACTAAGTGAACGGGACTTATAATCTGATCAAGTTGTTGATTAATCGATTAGTCAATCAACAGAAAATTAAGCAGCAACTATATTAATAATCATCAAAGTTGCGACTTATTGGCATTTTTGCTTTAAAAATGCCATAAAGTCACAGGTTCAAGCATCTGCTCTGGTTACAAATGTGAATGTCTTTGGGTTTAGGGCTGCTGGTTGGACAAAATAAACAATCTGAAGCTGTCACATCAGGGAAATTATGGGGGACACATTTCACTGTTGTTACATTTTATATTGAAAAACTAATCTTGAAATTAAAGGATAATGATATCAATCATTGGTTGCTAATATCGTAATTTAAAAAGCTCATTTACACTGAACACACATATTGCTTTCATGAATATAGCATCTCTACTGCTGATGGAGATTGGTCTTTTTATTTGTATGCTCTTGGGATCCATCATCACTTATTTATTTTACAGGCAGACTGTGGCATCATCATGAAGCTATAAAGCCAAGTCCAGCTCCCTACTAACAGATGCTCATAAATGCACCAAGATAAGAGCTGATCCCAGTTCAGCAAACAGATTAGCACATTATATTTATAACATAAATGATTACTTGTATAAATCTGTTGATATTTAGTGGGATTCAGAATACACATAGTCCCTATGGGGAGCCTTCCATGGAGATTACATCAAAGCTGCAGTGTCAGAAATAAATTAGAATACAGGATAAAATGTAATAAATTAAAATGAAGTGAAAGCAAAGTTCAATGTGAATACGTTAAAGGAAAAATCAGTTGATTGAAGACTTAGAAAAAATCAGGTATGGATCCTCCCTCTCTCCACAGGTAGCTACTCCAGGTTAAAGGCCGGAATGCCCTGTAGGCCTGTCAGCAACCAAGGTATGGTGATGATGCCTAGGCTTACTTTTCGTTTGCCCCTATGCGTTTATAGCACAAAATAAATCATCTGCAGTACGCTGTGGACCATGTAACAGATACCCACCCCCCGGTCTGACCTGTTGTTCGGTGACTTACCAGATTTCGGTGGATAGCGGTACACCGAATTGGACGGAATGTCCACTTCTTCCACGCCTATGTTTTGTCTGCTTGTTAAAGCTCCCATTTCCAGTCAAATGAAGACCACACGGGTTAACGGGCATAACACTTCAGGCTCGCTTTGTTCGCGGCGTCTCTTTATTCCCTATCATTTAATCCAGTTCGTGCTGCCCTGTCCATTTCTGTTGGGTCCAAGCCCCGCCGTGAATGTGACCGTCCCGGGGATTAGTTGTTGTTCTCTGGCTGCTTATCTCTCCCCTGGTCAACAGTGCAGCTCGTTTTGAGGCAGAAAACAGCCGTTAACAGCGGCGAGGCGCTCTCATGGTGCGCCGCAGTCGCACAATCGGCCGAAGCGAAATCTCCGTGCCTGCCTGTCTTTACTTTTTTTTTTTTTACTTTACGGGCGACTGTGTGGCACAAAACAGCGATGTGGTCGTCGACATCTCCCGGCCCACTGGATGTTGGTCATGTATCCCCGGTGCTTGTCTTTGCTGGATCCTGTCAAAGAGGTCTGTGGCTCCCCATGACGTCAGTCAGGCACAAATCCGGACCGTGGTTTTTGCGCAGTCCCCCTCTCTCTCTCCAGCAGCCGCAGCTAGTGCCGACCAACCCGCTGACTGCAGTGCAGAGGACGCCTCCGTGGAATTCACACCGTGCCGAAAATGTTTGAATCCTCCAAACATGAGTGAAAATGTCTGTAAAAACCTAACAGTTTAACCTAACAACAGGGAAGACAAAAAAATAAAGATTAAAAAAGAAGCTATCTAAAGCTTTTTTCACAACAAGTAGTGGCACAGAAATCAAACTGTGGGAATTATACGACGACCCAGGAATCAGAACTATGTCAGTGATTGTTTAACGAGAAAAACAATCGTTAAGTAATGACAAATAACTAGTAGGATGCTGTAATGTTGATGTAATGAAACTAAATGCAATAAAGGCAGAGTAACGGTGCTGTTAAAATGCCTCCCCGTCGACAGAGGGCAGAGTCGCAGTTTGTGTGACGGAAGGTGAGCAGCCAAACCGCCAATCAGACGAGGCCAACAGGAGCGCAAAGAAAGGGGAGAAGGAAGCTTTATTGCCGCCATTTCACGTGAAAGCAGCGCGGAACGAGCAACGTCAAGGGCCAAACGATTAGAAGAAATCAGGCAGAATTTGAATTACATTCGCCAACTGGAGACTTAGAAACCAAAGCAGCCGTTATAACGAACGGTAGGGCCTAGCAGTTTGTCTTTTAAGTGGCCTTTGCTGTTGCTTGGAGAAGAAGAAAATGAGCTACGGAAGGCCGCCACCAGACGTGGAGGGAATGACCTCCCTCAAAGTGGACAACCTGACTTACCGAACTTCGCCGGAGACCTTGCGTCGAGTTTTTGAGAAGTATGGCCGTGTGGGGGATGTGTATATCCCCCGGGATAGGTACACCAAGGAGAGCCGCGGCTTCGCCTTCGTACGGTTCCTCGACAAGCGCGACGCCGAGGACGCCATGGACGCTATGGACGGCGCGCTGCTCGACGGGCGGGAGCTTCGGGTGCAGATGGCCCGCTACGGACGACCACCGGACTCAATGTACAGCCGGAGAGGTGCTCCGCCACGCAGATACGGAGGGTACGGTCGCAGAAGCAGGAGGTAATAGTGGGCTGTTTAGCTTTGGCTAGGGAATAGTTTTATGAAGGATAGGAGCACATGGCCCACTAAACGAAAGTAGCTTAGAAGCATTTCCTGCTTGTTTACTATGTAGCAATAAGTAAGCCTTAACATTTCTAACGATACTTGCAGGCCAACAGTACACAATGCTTACCATAATCTGGTTATTATTCTATTCAGTGCTTTAATTTGCATACGTTTATACAGTGTACAAGGATTTAAACTGTTTTCGTTTTGAGTTAATCTACAGATCATATACTTGATCAGTTGATTAAGTGTTTAGTTTATGGAGGATCAGCAATACTGAAAAATGACAAGTTTCCATAGCCCTAGGTGAAGTTGTTTGGCCCAAATAACAGTTTAAAACCCAAAGAGATATATACATGTATATTAATTATTTATTTATTTTTATATTTGTTTCATGCCATTTAGTTTTCAGTTTCTATTTTATTTTTTCCTTGCTCTGGCCATATTATTGAAATGTTTCTCTCTCTAACCACAGCCGGTCAGCCAGCCCCCGCCGCCGCAGACGAAGCCGCAGCCGCTCTAGAAGCAGAAGCCGGTCCCGATCCAGGAGCCGCCACCACTACAGCCGCTCTAGGTCCCGCTCCTACTCCAGATCCAGGTCAAGGTCCAGATCCAAGTCCAAGTCTAAGTCCAAATCCAAGTCCAGAACCCCCAGACGGAGCAAGTCAAAGTCTCCCTCCAGGTCTCGCTCCCGCTCCAGATCCAAGTCAAGAAGTCGAACCCCGCCTTCCAACAGAGGGTCAAAATCCAGGTCCAGGTCCAAATCCAAGAGTAGACCTAAATCACCAGAGGACAACGGAGCCGAGTCTTAACCCAAACTTGGACGCAATATGACGGTATTCAGGGGAAAGGGTGGATTAATGATTATATTACTTGTTATACTCAGACAGTAGTCATCATTGTGGTATTCTGCAGTCTTGATGCTACATTGCAATCATTTGCAGACAAGCAACCAGGTCTGCAGAATCTTGAATGTTTTTAGAAATTAAAATTAGATTGGGACTGATGTAGACAGGCCTAGTGCTGTGTGTGCTTTACTTTGCTTGTACCTTCAGTAAAGCTAAAACACACACAGGCACTCACAGGGAGATTTGACTTAATGTGATCTGCCATAGCACATAATTCAAATTGGGGTGATATGAGTGTGTATGGGAGGGAGGGGTGGATGGGACGTGGGGTGCTTCACTCAAAACGTTCACCTAAATGTGGAATTCTTTCCTCCAAGCTGCGGAGTCCTGTTTGCAAAGAGAGGAGGAGGAGATGGGGGTGTGGCAGTGTGAGAGCAGTTAGTGTGTGACCCGCCCATGTGACCTGCCTGTTGCTGAGAGCGATGGCAGTTGCTAAGGAGCAGGTCACCAAGGCAACGGTGGTTGCTATGGAGCAGGTCGTCATGGCGGTGGTTCGGGCTGTCAGTTGGTGTATGAGGTGGTGTGGTGAGGTACGTTCACGGGGATCACAGGCAGATGCACTGAGCACTGTTCCCACCCGTGCCTGTGGCGTCCTCTGCCTCTCTCAAAGGGAACGGACCCCGAGGTTTGTTTTTCAAATATGCCCGAGTGTAAGAGTCTTGTTAGAACTAGTTTTTGGGAGTGTGGGGCCAAGAAAGGTGTGTGTAAACAAATGTGATAATAACTAGAAATATTAGGTATATTAAAAGAAGAGCTGCACAAAAAAGCCAGTTTTATAAATGTTAGTGTCAGGAGGGAGAAGATCAGACCAGTACTGTTTAAATATCAGGTCAGCTGCAGAAGGGAAGATGGCCTTTTTGTTTTGCTCTTGTCAACTGTATTTTGTCTTTCCTTCCAGATCTCAGATGATTGAGCCTTTGCTGAGGACATCAGGAAGAGTCTCACATGGAGCAAGTGGACTCCACTATTACCACTGAATGCAGACTGAAAGGTTATTGGAGCTTGGTCTAAATTGTTTTAAATGTTTCATTTGACTTAATTTGCCTAAACAAATTCTGTAACTTTGATGTCATCATTGTTTGTAAAGTTGAGCACATTGAAAGGGATTTCTAAGGTGTTTTTTTTTGTTTGTTTGTTTGTTTGTTTTTCCCCAATCAAAATTGGGTATTTTTAATTTTGATTGAATTTGTACTTGTTAATAAATTCTTTTTTGACCTTAAGTATATTTCTTTTAATGAAACCCCTTGTTTAACACTCTTTCCAGATGGATATGGGAGAGTTTTATTGCAGAGTTGATGTAGAAAAGGGTCACGTTGGATATTTCAGCTATGTTATACCACTCTTATTGGGAAAAATGGCTTACTGTACAGTGACATAAAAGCAAAACATGAAAAATTCGCATTGCCACTTAATTTGTGACTTGTTAATCCGGCAACATAGTATTTTCTTTTCTGTCACATCTCTTTTTTTCTGTCTGGTTAAAGTTGCTTTCCTATGACTCTAACCCTCTTTCTTGTGTATCTTTTGTGCACTAGGCGCAGTTGTGTAGCAGTTGAGTAATGCTGGTTAGCTGTTAAGATGCGGTGCAGTGCGGTGGTGACATGGTGTGGCGTGTTGCGGTGCTGAGTGCCCGGTGCTGTTCCGGGGCTCGACCCTCCGCTGCTGTTTGCCGGTTTGTAAGCTCACAGGTGTGGCAGATCATCCATCCTCTCCTGTCTTGTGATCTCTTCTTCCCTCCATGTGCTGTACAGATTCTCTTCTCCCTTTTCTCTTTATTCTCCCTACTTTCCTTTTCCCCTCTCTGTGGTTCATCCACTGTTGAAAACTGGCCTTGCTCGCTTTTTGAAATTGGGTCCATTGGGACTCCTAGTGAAGGGTTTAAACGGCAGTTCTGACTGCTTAATGAATCATTTTTGTGTATTGCATTCCTCTGTGAACCTCTCAAATGTCTTGTTATTGCTTCAGGTGAATGCTAATAAACATTTTTGTCTTAAATAAGTTGCCGATGTGAGTTCTGTTATGTCCATCTTCATACAAATAATAATGTTTTTGCTATATAATCAAGTTTACCTCAACTCTTAGGCAGTTTAGTGAGAACAAATTTGTCACCAGTATAAATCATATGGTCACCTGTTGTGTAGCCTGAATTAAAACACTGTCAGGATTTAAAGGTGTATGCAAAAGTTTGTATAGAGACAAATGACAATCGGTTTATTTTTCAAGTAAAAAGTAAATACACCTGCAACAACAGACATTTAACAAAGTCAAGTAAAAATATTTGGTTTTTAATGCAATGTAATGCTTTATTTTACGGTCTTAAAAAAATTAAACAGTAAAGTTTGGGCACCCTACCAAGTCAAAATTAAGTAACCCTAACCTTTGCATACAACTTGTTTTGGTCAAGCCAGGCGATGAAACAGTAATGTTTAGTGGTGGGCCTTAATGTATAAATTTCGATACTTTATATTTGCTATAACCAGTTAGGAATTATAGTATTTGGTTAATCCAGTTAATCAATTTGATGCTAAAATTGTGATATATTACCATACATCACTCAATGTAGCATAGTATACATTTATTTAATCTAATTAGAGATATTAAAAGGGTAGAAAAATCTTTGATGGTTAGTATTTTTTCAGCATCTCGCAGTATAAATTGTATCATCACTTTTAGTAACACCAACACCACTAACTGGTTATATTGTATATTTCTAATCACCTTCATGTAAACAAATAAAAACATTTATTAAGTTACATGGGCTTACTTTAAACAAGAAAAAAATACATATTGTATATTCACCGATGCCAGATTTTTCATTGAAGAACTAGATGTAATTTGAAACATTTGTAATAAGGAAATGGCTTTGTGGAAAAACTAATCAGACAAATTAAAGGAAAGTATTTTTATGTCATAAAGCATGTCTGCAGTGGATCTGCAAATCATGAATATATTTAAACTACTGTAGTTTGTTATTTTTTTTCCAGTTCATACAGAATGGGAAATAAATGATTATGCTAATTTAACTGACATTATGTAGCTACTACTTCTATTGATATAATATAAGTTTAGGTTTGTTATTTTTTGAAATATAATTGAAAATAATTAAGACTGACCTCCTTATTAAACAATATTTATCGAATTTCATGTTGGCCATAGTCTACATTATGTCAGAGAGAGAAACCTGAATAGAGGATCTTTGATTATGTTAACTGCACTCCTATTAGCAAGCTAATGTTAGCTTTGTCAGTTGGTTCAGTTAGCTACACAACAGTTACACCTGGCGCATCACTTAGTGGGTGTAGTTGGATATTTAGAAAGATTTTCTATGTAAAAACTAATTTGTGTGGGTATAGTTTTATTTTATGATGTGTATAACACTAAATGTTTGAAAAGGTTAAGTTTAAGAAGTTAGGTTTAAACTTTAAAAAAAAAAAAAAAGATGGTGGAATTGATGGCAGCTGCTGCAGCTCCAGGGGCGGTTGCCTTGTTGGTCAATAAGCAGGTAAATATCAGAACTATCAGGAAAAATGACTAATATTGGGTCATTAATCTAAACCATTGGACTCCAAATTTAGTGCTCTTGTTGTTTATTGTCCTGATTTAATCCCAGGTGCAGACTGTTTGCAAGGTGAGTCCTCAGGTGAGAACACCCGACGCTTTCTCCTGCTCGGACTGTAAACCCTGCTTGACTTTATCAGCCTGCACCCACGGTACACGGGTCCTGTCACAAACCATTTACATCTCCCGCTTTGTGCCGTACACCCGCCGCTGATGGGATTAACGGGCAAAAGTAGAGAGCCGAGAGCCGAGCACGTTGCAACGTGCCATGCCAGCGTACCTGAGCTGTGCTGTCCGGCAGTCTGGAGATATAACGGCGGGGGTAGTCGGCGCATGCTGGGCGGGGGGCGGACCCGGAGGATATGACGTCCAGCTCGGAGAGGAGATTGTACCATATCCCGTAAACGCTGCCTGTTAACGTTGATTTGTGGTGGGGATTATTACAAGGATGGCTGAGTGAGTGAATGCAGTTGACTCAAGTGAACAGAAGGAGAAACAGGAAAGACAATCGAGTCACATTGCAAGTCGGAACTCTCCACAACCATGAGTCTAACTTTTGTATTATCTGCTATTATTTTCACGCTTCTCGCTATTGTGGTCGCAACGTCGTTATTTAACGGCTCTTCTACAGCCGACTTTGCAAACGCACGGAGTTATTTCGGTGCAGCCGGAGGATTAGATCAATCGGGGCCGAAGCAGAATGGCTATTTACCCGAGAAGAAGAAGAAGAAGAAGGCAGCGGATGACTGGTGTGAGATCAGCGGGAGCTCACACGATCACTGGGATGTAGTGAAATCTGTGCTTTCAGTAAGTAGTCTTCGATCTGTCTGTCATACAGTTTACACACCCACAGTCCTGGTTTGTTTTGTTAGAGCTGCAAAACGCTCTTTCATTACGTAAGTCTCTCTTGATCTGACTATCCCTCCCACTTAGATACTGTTTACATGGTCCAGTCAGTGACGGAAGGAGCACTCAAATCTTTCACTTAAACATAAGTAATGGTATAATGGATTAAAAAAAAGTTCTTAACAAGTAAAGATCCTGCATTAAAATTTGACTTAACTTTAGTGGGAACAAAGTATGAAATGATACAATAAACGAACAGTGGCTCTTCCATCAGTGACCCGTGTGTGAAGTGTAGGCCACATCAGCATCCAAGAGGGATGATGAGTACAGGTAACACAAGGAGTTAAATTGATTTGTTTGGAACTAAATATGTGCCCAGCAGTTTCTAATCCAGCCTGCTTGCCAATGGCGGCAACACACAGATATTTGAGAGGTAAAAGTGCATCTATTAGGGGGATGACCTGTGCAAATTGATGGTGTGATGCCCCTCATCTGACCCCTTAATTCTCTGACAGGAGGAGGCACACCCCCAACCTCTCACTGAAGAACTGGCAACACCAGTTGAACACTCCTCCTCCACATCCAGCCTGTCCGTCCCCAGGCCTGGATCTAGGCATATGAGCTTAGAGGTAGATTCATCATCCGAGGCCTCATCAGGGAGGGGCCGTAGGTCATTCATTGGGCTCTCTGATAAGGAGCTCATAAAGTGTGCTTTCTCTTACCCCCAGACTGAAGGAGCCACAGAGAGCCCGGGGATCAACGGTGAGCACTTTTACCCACTTTGAAAGAGTTGTGAGTTAAATATTTAAATATATACCATATATATTTTATAAATAAAGGTTTTGTGTCAGGTTTTAATCAATGTTTATTACATTTTATCAGATAAGGTGGAATCAAATGCAAACAATTCCTTGAAGTACGTCCCTGGAAAGGCGCGATCCCACCACTTGCAAATGATGATGTCCAAAGATGAGCTGGAGGAGGAGCAGAGGTCAGTAAAATATGAGTACAACTTCCTGATAAGACACTCTTTATAAAGGGTTTATAAGCCATCAATAAGAACAACTAATTATCTCTTTATTTCTTCAGCAAGACCCAGTTGAGAGTTCTCCCTAGTGAATTGAAGAACTACTAAGAAAGTCATGCAAAGTGTCGTGCTGGAGGAGGATTTACCACAACCTGGAAAAAACAGTTGTTGTTATTAATGGATTATATCTGATTCATAAAGATTAATTGCAGCTACTAAACTCATTATAAAAAGTGCCTTAAAAGTCCCCCCCCCCCAATCCTCCAAAACAGAACAGAAGATGCTTGGGCAAAGATTTACCAAAGATTTACTGAAAATCAAATCTTTTCATGAATTCCTATGAAGTTCCTTTGTTTCCACATGTATGTTCTGCGTTCTGTCCAATGTCAACTCCTCGTCTTCCTCCCTCTAGCCTCTCCTACGCTGTCTTCACGTGTATCTGTGTGTTGTTGGCATTTCAGTCCAAGCCTTCCACGATTAGCTGCTGTATCACCCCTCGGCTTTAGGCGAGACTGAGTAAGGCGAGATTGAGTCTCTGCCAGGCATTAGCTGAAGGATGAATGACACGAGACTCAAAAGAGTTTGGTGGCTGTTGCTTTAAAACAAATAAGGAACGGCGGAGTGATTCAGCTATATCCTCTCTGTAATGTATTTGCATACCCTGCTCTTATCATTGCAGGATACACTCGAACACAGACTTTAACTGTCTGTAAGCCTGAAAAAGGAGCAAATACGTGGTAAAGTATGAGTTATTCTCACCCGTTTGTCCCAGGGGAGTCACTTTCTGGCCATTGTATGAAAACCACTTCAGTGCTGTTTTTTTCAGGCCAATTTGCTTTTACAGTTTTGGCCTCATCTGCTCTTTATCCTCAAGTGGCCATGAAGCGACCAATGTAACTGTGCAGTGCTGCTTACCTGATCCCACTTACCCACCTCCCGCTGTTGCATTATTCCACATTAGATGTGTGATTCTCAGGTGTCACAGCAGGTGTTGATTGTGTCTCCAGTCATCACCTCTGACAGATAAGTGTTAGTTAATCCTCTGAGGACTCACCGCTGCTCAGCCACAAGGAGGAGTCATTGTAACGCAACACTTGGACCTGCTGCTGACAAAGCAGTAGCTTTAGCTATTCAGTAACATATGAACAGAGGAAGTGAAGGGACAATAAAAGGTTTATGCTTCGAGAAGAAACATATATAGTTAAACATTTAATTCTGGTCATGCAGCTCATCTTTATGAGCATTTTTATTCGGCATTGCTTGTCTTTGTTTCTCTGCACAGATGTGAATTATTGACTTTTACATGTTGTCTCTGAGGTGATCAAAGATCTCCCTTCGTTATGTCTGTCCTTGTGTTTTAACATCATTATTATTTACATACACATATAGCACCGGTGCTGTCAGTACAAATTATACTTCATAAATGTTGTGAAATTTGTACAAGTGATAAAGAGAGTTTACCTGTTTTATCTGTTTATCTGTTTTACCTATCAATATTACTTTGGTTCTTGTTTTTCCAGGGTGCAACGGGAGCAGCTGGCTGCCATCTTCCAGCTGCTACACGATAACAAGGAGACGTTTGGGGAGGTGTCGGAGGGAGACATGGAGGAGCAGCTCAGACTCTACTCCATCTGAGACTCCTCTCTGACTCAGCTCTTTGCCTTGCCATCCACCCTCTGACTGCGCTCTTTTACCTGTGAGCGCGACTGACGGACCTCTTCAACAGAGCTGTACAATACACTCAACAGCTACTCTCAATTGTGTTCCTTTTTTTTTTTGTTTCTTGTGGGTTTTTTGTTTTTTGTTGTTTTTGCTTCCATCCCCTGTCATTCAAACTGCAGTCCACATGAAGACCAAAGGAAACACCAGCCCAGAGCAGGACTTTATAACTACCAAATTGCAAATAAGGACCAAAAGAGATAAAAGACTATCATTATGTCTATTAGTTTTATATTATAATAAAAATGTTAATTTATTACAAAACTTTTTTTTAAAAACTCAACTTTATCTTCACTTAACTTCTGTAACAGGTATAAACCCCTGCAAGTTATCGCTGCATAACTTCCACTCTGTTGTGCAATAAACCACTTTATGTACTATTGTGAATGTGCATGACTGGTTCCTGGTCTATGATACATTTCTGTAACAGGAAACTGAGCGGTAGCCCTACCCATTCAACCTCGGTGACAAGGTGTGAAACACTCTTGGGTGGCTTTCCCACCTGGGTACAAATATAAGAGGGAAAGCAAACACTCATCTGTGTCTAATTGAACAGCAAAGACACCAAATTAGAGGGATGGCAGTCCAAACCCACAGGATTTATTTTTGGCTGCTTGTGATGTCGGTCAGCATTTTACTATTGATCTTATCATGGGACTATTTGTCTCTGAAATGCATCAGGTAAGTTGTATTTGTATTTTATATCTAGAGAAACATGAAAGATAAAGAAGGGAGTGTTTTAATCTGTTATCATTTGTTGTAAATTAGTTAAAGAAATGTGTAGCAGCACATCTCCAGGTCTAGTACTTTTTTATTAATTATTAATTACTTTTAATAAAGTGTCTTGCTAACTCTTATATGTTGCATCTATTGCTCTTTGTCAAATTTCCACTTCAGCTGGACTAATTTCTTAGGAAAACACACCGGTCAAGAGAGATTGTTTGATAGTGACGTTACATTATGGGTTGAAAGGGGAATCTCGACTCTACCGCCCACTGTGTCTAACGCAAAACAAGCAAAAGTTGCAGTTTCCACAACAACTAAACCAGTGACGAAGCTAAAAATGGATCAAATGAAAACCTCTGCACATGGAGCTGTGGCTGAGACCCCCATGCCGGTCCTCTCCAAAAAATCCTTCAAAAAGCTTCCTCAGTGGGACTTTGAGGATGTCTATAACCAGGATGCCCCACCCCGACAGACAGTAAGCATGCTATGATAAGATGACAGCATGAATATAATGACTTTTCAGGACTGAGTAAACATGGCTGATGTTTGTTCAAATGTGTGTTTTTGGTGTGACCAACATGAATTTCTACTTGTTTTTCCTTTTAATGCTTGCGCAGTATCACTGCCTTTAACATTTTATTCTATATTTTCAGACCTGTGCCCAGTCTGTGCGAAACTCTGAGGATGAGAGCTTCAAGAAGGCTTTCCTCCCCAACATGCGTTTGTTTCTGCACAAAGACAATATCAACATGAGCGAGTGGAACCGACTTTCACATTTTAACAATCCCTTTGGTTTTATGGAGTTCAAGTACGACGGTAAGTGTTTGCATGTGTCTGACAATTCACAATAAAGTACACAAAAATGGGAGTAGCTGCTGAGTAATAGGTGAGCAAAGAATTAATCATTTGTGACGAGCTCCTGAATAACTCCCAGCTGAGGACTATATACAGTAGATAACATTGAGTTACTACTGCTGTGGCTGGTAAGCCAAAAAGAAATACGTGCTGTCTGCTGGTAACAAGGAAGCCACAAACACAAGAGTTTACAATTTCATGCGTCCTATTTGAAATAAACTTCTGTAACCCTTGAATCCACTGTCATTTGATGCTTTGTTATTATGAAAAGAAATCATTATACCCACTTAAAGTATAACACATGAGCTAACACTTGCATGCAAACACCTAACAAGCTTGGCAGTTTGTCAGTTTAACACACAGTATGTATTTCTTGGTTTGCAGACGTGATGGCTTCAGTGCAGTTGATCCCAAAGCCAAAAGAGCCTCTCCTCTCTCCAAAGGCTGGCAGTGGTGGCTGTATACGCTGTGCTGTGGTGGGCACTGCGGGGATCCTTAATGGCTCTAAAATGGGGAAAGAGATAGATTCACACGATTACGTTTTTCGGTAAGAAAGAGGGAGTGAACAAACCTGGCTTAAATTGTTTTTTGGGTTTTTTTTAAACACAGGACCACAAAGGAGTGGTTCAAATTTTTTGTCAGTTTAGCAGACTTTAATCAGCCATCTGTCTGTGAATGTTCTCATTCGTCCAGGTCATAGTTATCTCTCTCTCAAATTGAATCGAAGGCAACTGGACTTGTATTTGTCTGTGGAAGACGTTTCGCCTCTTATCCAAGCGGCTTCATCAGTTCATCATGTATTAATCTCTCTAGTCCGCACTAGTCTGACCAAGAAAGTGGAGTAGGACCCAGGTATTTAACCTCTTGTGGGTGGGTCCACCAAAGTATCTGTGAAAGTACTGGTTTCACCTGACCATTGTTGTGGTCTCATGTGGACGACTGTCGTTAGGGTCAGGTGACCCTGTTGTTATCCCGTGTGAACGACAGTCGTTAGGGTCAAGTGAGCCCCTAGTGGATGACGATCGTTGAGAGTCGTCTGAGGTTATGTTGTTGACTCTCCTGGGTACCGATGAAAGGGCGACATTGTAGATGGGGGATAGATGGTGTCGCAGACCCCCTCCCCTGTTTAGCGATGGCCTCTCCACTTTTACATAGATGGCTTCCTTGACTCCCCTTTCAAACCATCTGTCCTCCCTGTCCAAGATTTTGACATTGCTGTCTTCAAAGGAGTGTGCCTTTTCCTTTAGGTGGGAGTAGACAGCTGAGACAGGGCCTGAAGAGTTTGCCCTTCTGTGTTGGGCCATACGTTTGTTTAAAGGTTGTTTAGTTTCCCCAATATATAGGTCATTGCATTCCTCACTGCATTTGACCGCATATATGAGGTTGCTTTTCTGATTGTATGGTGTTTTGTCTTTGGGGTGTACCAGTTTCTGCCTGAGCGTGTTACTGGGTTTGAAACATACAGGGATTTGATGTTTGTTAAAAATCCTCCTGAGTTTCTCTGAGACCCCAGACACGTATGGAATGACGATATTTCTGCGTTTATCTTTCATTTTCTCAGCATCCTCCATGTTGGTATTCTTTCTGGAGCGTGTTGTTGTTTTGCCAAAAGTCCAACTCGGATAGCCACAAGTTTTCAGAGCTCCCTTTAGATGTTTATGTTCTTCTGCTTGGGCCCGAGTGGAGGTTAATCAGCCATTGTGTAGACCCATGCATTTGTAAATTTGTGTGATTTCTGTGACACATAACGGGTGATTAAAACCAGATCAACCCGCTAAGAGCATCAGTCATGGTTGTCACAGCTACATAGATTTTGTTCAGTCAACATGGGAGCGGCTCCAGGATGCTTGAATGATTTGTTTTGTTGAGAAAAAATATTTTGTCGCTGTACTGCTACTGTCAGATGCCTTCAATATCAAGTGAACCCCGGAAATATTAAATGCAAGAAAAGGCAGTCTTAACCGTCTGTCGAGCCTAGCTGTCCTCTGAGTGTACACATTATTATCATTGCACAAACAACCCAGATGATGGTTAAACAAAACCTATGTAGAATTTTTTCACACGGTTCCTTGATGTCAGTTGATGTTCTTCGTCATCCAAAACTTTGCATTGGAGTAATAAATCTATAAAATTTTTTACTGTTTTGTAACACGCTATATAATAAACCCAGAAAAAAAAAAGTACCCCCATTTAACCTTGTGTCTGTGTGGATTGGTCCTTATCAGGTGTTGATATCAGGGCATTGTAATATTTCCACGTGTTACTTCAAGCTCTGTCCGTTTGCAATTTTTGATCTTTGACTCCAGGATATTACTACTTCTGTTTTTAAACCATGCCTGTGGATATTTTTGCTTTATGAGGTTATCTTGCTAGAAAATACAGCACAACAGATTCTTCTTATAGGCTGCACTAGAATTTTCTGTATTTGGTTTATTTATTTGCTTAGTTTTTATTTTGATTAGTTAATCAGGCTGAACGTAGAAGTGGAAAGTAGTAGTAAAAAGAAGTGGCAATGGTAGAGATGTTGTGATACTAACTATATTTTCTGTAATTATATTTTACAACATAAAGCTTTAAATTTCATTTCAAAGCTCTAGTCCAGGAAAGAAGAAAAAACTGTGATGGAGGAATATTCACTTGTTTAATTATTTACTTTTGTTGGCTTAATTATGGTCAAATTTGGAGTAAACTTAAGAAAAAAATAAAACTCCAAAGTAGTCGTTGGTGCTTCTCATGATAAGCATGTACACCAGGTTTTAAAGTGATAAAATCACATGTACTCACAAGTCTTAAATACTGGAATCAGACTATGAACTACCTACCTCGTCTCAGTTTTTAATTGTTCAATGTAACTCCCTGAACACTGCCAAATTCCCAGTGAATCTACAGTCATGCTAGCGACTCTGTGAGGCTGTACTTGAGCTAAATGCTAACCCAACTTCAATATTTAGACCTGTATGTATGTTTCGGTGTCCTTTTTTAAAATTTTTTAGCTAAACGTAGCTCAACTTTCAGTAAACTTGATCTTTGGGTGTATCAGTTCATTTTTAAACCAATGAAAATTCAGCCCAGTGTCAATTTATGAAAGACATTTGGATGTGTTTGTGCGGCAGGATGAATGGCGCAATCATCAAGGGTTACGAGGAGGATGTAGGGAACAAAACATCAGTGTACGTCCACACAGCTCACTCCATCACTTCATCGATGTATTTGCTCAAGAAGTATGGATACAGCTCTGTCCCTAACGATGAGGTACTGAAACTCAAACGACAATGTTGTAATGTTGTGATGGTTTAATTTCTCCACACATACGCACTGATCAGTCCTCCTCTTCCTTTTGGCAGGGTATAAAGTATGTGCTGATCCCTGAGGGGATGAGGGATTTCAATTGGCTCCAGGGTCTTCTGAAAGGAGAGAGGATTGCTGCAGGCCCCTACCAGAACAAGCGGTGAGTATCAACTCTATATATATTTTCTGTAGGCCTGGATACTATACAAACACACACAAACACAAAAGCATGCATACTGTACACCCAGTGCTACAATATAGCAGGCCTGAAAAACATGTCTCCATGTTTGTTCACAGTCAAATATCCAATAGAAGTGAAATTTTATTTTTACTTATGATTTACTATATTGACTGACACAGTTAGTACAATTTATGGAATATACAAGTCATATTAAACATTCACAAGATATACTATGTGCGCCTTTGTGTTACATGCAGAATGTCACAAAACTCCCTTCCAAAATCAGGCATTTTAGAAGCAAGAACCACACAATATACAAAGATAAACCTCATATTTGGACCTTGTATTTGCATTTTGTGTTTGTTTCAATTCAAGATGGTAGTTAAGAAGAGCTGTTATACGTTGTTGGAAATCAAATGATTCGTGAGATAAAATATGGTAGGCAAACACAATGAAACATTACACACAGGCTGCATGATTTAATGTTTGTAATCATACTATAGTTATTTATCACTCCACACCCTCATGTCCATAGTTACACCAGTGGCACATTTCAGACTCAATAGTGTGATGTAGGGAACAAAACACTGGTGTACATTTACACAGGCCACTCCATCACACCATCACTGTATTTGCTCAAAAAGTACAGTCCTTAACGAGGTACTGAATCTCGAATGAGTGACATTTACAGTTAGACATCTGTTCAACATTAACAGCAGCTCATTTATTTCTCAATCACCCAGAACAACTTTATTTGAGATGTGTTGCCTAAATCTCCAGCATATGGTATAGTAACAAAGCCCATTTTCATCATGTCATTCTTTAATAATCACTGTAGACTTTTGTATTTTTACCCTCCAGGCCGAGGACGTACTATGCTGGGCAGTACAATGAGAGCCGTTTCTATGTTCTGCACCAGGACTTTCTCAGATATGTGCGAAACAGGTCAAACTCATTTCACAATCCTACCCAAACTTTTTACTTGTTATGGTTGACTCTAATAATGATGAACACTTTTCATGCAAAGATGCAGCCAAAATTGCCTCAAAAAAACAGGATAAAAATGATGTCAAACAGAAAACAATAATGATAATAAACCAATAACAATTAAACCAATCGCAAAAAATCATTTAAATAGCTAAATAAAGAAGGTAGAGCTGACACGGAATCCCAAATTAAAAGCCAAATTTAAAAAGATAGGTCTTTAATTTCTTTTTAAAATACTGAGGGAGAAATACCAAGCCATAAAAAACGGAAAGCATATTCACTAGATTTCTTGTGAAGAAAATTAGCGACATCTGAAAGAAAGGCTTTAGTTGGGAGACAAAATGAAAGGAAGTAGCTGATATAGTAAGGTGTTAAATTATGTAGGGCTTTATGAATAGGAAAGGGGACTATCTATAAATATATATTCAAAGCTACCAGTAGTCAGTGCAATATTGCAAACAGTTGATCTGTTTTCATATTAAGATTGGCTGCAGCATTCTGAATTAGCTGCATTTTCTTAAATACCTTTTGGAAAAATAAGTTTAAAAAAAAACAGTAATGTAAGTGGCTTATAATAAAAGCATGCATAATCATGTCGGAAATAATCTGGGTCAAAAATGGTCTAACTTTGGCAATGTTTCTAAGATGCAAAATTGTATTAGCCCGATTGTTTAATTGATTAGCAGATAAACTTTGAGAACAGGTAAAGCAAGCATTCAAACAACTAGTGAAACAGACATATACAGTTGTGTATCATCAGCATAAAGCAATCTTACATTATGATGACTAACAATATTATCCAGAGCAATGAAGATTATTGAATAGGATGAAACGTGCTTCAGTGAGCAACAGACTAAATCACCAATAGAAAAACCTGACAAGTATAGTAGATGAACGCACCTATTTCTCAAGTGTTTTGATTGAAATGCTATGATAGACTATCAAAATCAGTGCTTAAACAGAATGAGGACAGCCACATTATTAGGAAGAAGAGAAATTATCAGGTCATTTACTACCTTCTACAAAGAAGCCTCAACTTTATGGTCATTTTGGAGGTTGCATTTTGTCTTTTCTTATAGATGCAAAACATATTTTTAATGCATTATGTTCATTTGGTACTTAATTATTGCCTACAGGTTTTTAAAGTCTCCTCATCTGAATGCTTCGTTCTGGGCGATAGTCAGACCAACCAATGGGGCATTCACTTCCTTCCTGGCTCTACACACCTGTGACACAGTAAGTTAATATTATTTAAACTTCTTGAAACTTGACATGAATAGTTTGACATTTTGGGAACTTCACTTATTAGCTTTCTTGCTCAGGGTTAGATGTGAAAATGGATACCATTCTCATATCCATCCGTTAAATATGCATCAACATGTTACATATTGTTTGTTTAATCCATGCAAAAATTTAAGTATGGAAAACAATTTGTGGCTTTACAGGTATGTGGGGACTATATTTCTGAAATAGTTGTGTTTACACTTTGGTTTTTGAGCTGTAATGTGTTTATTAGTGAGCTTAGCTACCAGGTTGTTGGCTGTAGATTCAAATGTATGGACCAACAGGAGATTATAGCTTCATCTAAATACCTTTGTATCCCGACCAGTCAGTCAGAAGAAGCCTCTTGGTTGAGATGTGAAACATCGTCAAGAACTGTATTTACAACCAAATCCAGTTTCCCTTGATATAACTCTTCTTGGATAATTCAGACTCTTCTTTGGTGTGATTATTCTCTAACTCTTCCTGTTCTCAGGTAAGTTTGTATGGATTCATGACTGAGGACTACAAGAAATATTCCAACTACTATGTGGAAAAACATGTTAAAACCCATGTTGTCTTCTACGCAAACCATGACTACATCCTGGAGATGAAGACATGGAAAAAACTACATGACAGTAAGATAATAAGACTATATCAAAGAGCGGACTCAGACACAGGGACAGAAAAGCAGAAGTAACAGTGATACACTGACGATGGCAGCAATGGCATCAAGAATAGAGTTCATTTTAATTATTGATTTTTTTTTTTAGTTGTACTGTTTACCCTCCTTGGGAAAAGGTTGTTTTACTATGAGTGTGTGATAAAAAGGGGACTTGATCTGGTTTGTACCAATTTTTTAAATCGTGGTCTGACAGAGAGTGGTAAAAAAACAAGCCAATGTTTTGCAACAGGCCAAAGTACAGGAAAACAGATATCAATTTATATGTATTCTACACTCAATGATATAAATGGGGGGGACAAAATACTAATAGGATCTATACTCTGTGCAACCTAACAGAACCACAGACAGCACCTCAGGGAAATCACTTCCATGAAAAAAAAAATTAACATTAAGATATTTGTTAGGATAGGAGAAGGGAAGTTGTATTAGACTGCTAGTTTACATGCATGAGTCATTCAGTGGTATCGAAAAACAAGATAAAAGCATCAAGTAATAGCTAATCTTTTATGATCAAAATGCAGGGAAGAAAACCTGATAAACAAGTCCTGCTGAGGGCTATCTTTTAAATCTATTATTCACAATGTTTTTTATTTGTTAACATTGATTTTTTATTTCCTTTGGATTGTCCATGCAACATAAAATAGTCTCTTATTTTTTAACTTTTTCATTTTTTTTATTTTTTTCATTTAAGGTCACTGCCTGTATGTTACACACAGATGGGCTAGGAGCCAATTAGTGAATACAATTTTGCAAGTACTAGTACTAGTACTGCTCAGAGTCCTGTTTTCAGTGTTTGTTATTGTATTTTTGACTGGTTTGATGGAACGTGTGATATGGGACCAGGTTAGGGTGGTTTCCTTCTTTGTTGAAGAGGTCATGGAAAATATATTTTATGTGAAGATGGGAAGTCTGAGGAAGAGCAGGGTGCTCAAAACCTCAGTCAGCTGAAGTAATATCTGATTTATTTAATGTATTGGGGATGGTTTATGGATTTTTTGTATATCATTGTGTATATTGTATTGTGTGTATTGTTTATACTGTCTATTGCTGAATGCAGCTAAAAACATTTTTTATTATCAATCAATCAGCTAATTGCGATTACTGAGGAAAGAATGTGAAAGATGTGGACAGGGTTTGTGTTTTAGCATTAAAGCTGAAGATGATTACTGTAAGAGATATAAGAACATTGACATTGTGCTTTCTTCTTGCAAAATATTGTACCATTTTAAGTTTTAAGTTAAGTCTTCATATTATGGGTCACAAAGTTGGGTTGAACTCACAGGCAATGTGTGGAAGAATTCAGTCATCTACATTTAAATCCATCATTGGTCTCAAATTCTGATCTGTTTGTCTTTACCCACCTTGTCTCTCAAGCCTCTTTCATAAAGATGTGTCGTTTCCACACTCCGTTGAAGATATATACTTTGAGAAGCAGTGTGTAATTTAAATTATGTAGGTTTTTCAGAGATTTCCCTTAAATTTATTATAACAAACAGCACCACCTGCTGACCTATTAGAGGTACGACTACAAAAACATTTGCCTCCTTTTTAATTAGTGGATGAATTTATATATATGAGGGGATAAAACCAAATGCAATGTACAATGTACAAATCCATAAATTGTCAACACATGGAAACTATGTAAATGTGGAGCTCCTTACTCTGTTCAATCTGTGCCTTTATTTAAATCCCTCAGCAACATATTCTATTGTGCAAAGCCGTTTCTTATGTGGCCTGGTTGCACACCTCTGAAAATAAAAAGAATGAATGAAGTGAAATGAAGTGAAGTTCTTTTACTATAAACATTTTATTTTTGCTCTGTATTAACAAAACATTGTATTATAATGTACAATGTACAGATTACAAAACAATGGGCCCCTGGGCACAGATATATAAAAGGTGCCACCCCTCCTTCATAACAAGATACACGATTAAGAACAACGTATTGAGCTTATTCTGCGTCTTTTTGTGTCACTTTCTAATTGTTTTACATCTATCGCTACCTTTTTTTTTTTTTTTTTTATAATTGTGTGGTATATTTTTTTGATTTATCTTAGATTTTAAAAACAAGTAAAAGTTTGTTTTCTCCTGTTGTCACTTGCGTTTTTGTGCTGAGGTGGATATTGAAGCTTGTCTGAAATTCTCCGGTGCTAAAATATAACAAATCACATTTACTTAATGAACTCACAGCTCCACTATGTGTATTGTAATCTCTCTGCTCTTTGTTTTGGTATCCAGTCTGGCAACACCTGCATGTTTGTGCATGTGAGTCCCTCAAACCATTAGCTCTGCTCCCCACTTTTATATAAACACAGGGACCCCACAGGTGAGATGGCAAAGCACAGTAAACACAGCAGCCAGGTGAAAGCAACCTCCTAGAATTTCCTCAACTGAAGAAACCATGTTTTTTCATCTAAAGATGCCTCCTACAAAGAAAGAGATAAAACCAAAGCACCGGCTCCATTAGTGTCATTTGTGGGCTGCCCCTCAAGGCTGAATTTCTTTTGCAGTGCAACCATGGATCTGACCTTACCACGATGGACAGTACGACAAGCTGCTAAAGGGTTGCAGTTTGACTTAGAACTGGCCTTTGTTCTTCACTAGGGGTAAGTAACTTCTTGGCTACATAATGTTTTATGTCTGTTATTATTAGTGACCAGCTATAGTAAGCATGATAATGTCCGCTAACATAGTGTTTCCTACATTACCAATCACGCCTACATTACCATCACGCGGGCTAACGGTTGTGGCTGGATTGTTTTTGGTTGGTTCAGCTGAGGCAGGATAACTTCATTCAGTCGTGCTTCTTGTTGTGTGTTGAGTGGTCGCTTTCACTGGGAAACTGTTTTGCTGACTGAGAACATGAAGGGGGCGGCCGTGTGCAAACAAGCCGGAGATGTGACCTTTGAATTAGCTGCTGATGCTTGTGGTCTAGTGCGAAATCTAGTAGCAATGTTATTATCTAATGGCATAAAATCATGTATTGTAAGTACATTTCCTGATTAAACTTGTACTTGAGTGCCACAATGCAGGACTTTCACTTGTAGTATTTTTGCAGTGTGATATTGATTTTGCTTAAGAGAAGGATCAGAATACTCCGTCCACCAATGTTTTTATATGACCCTCGTGGTATATCATTTTTGTTCTAAGCAGTTGTAGCTTAATTAATGATGGAGCCCCAACACCACATTTTACACACAGTTTTACTGTTATTTCTTATTTTACTTAAAGCACTCCAGCAGTAGTGGTGAGTTGTCTGTTTATAGCGGCTCTTACCACAGGGGGTCGTTGTTCTGCATGTTAATTTGCAGCACTGTTTCATGAAGTGTGTGCTGCGTGTGTGTCAGCCGTTACACTAAGAGACATCATTTATTTCAAGTTTTCCTCGCTGACTTGGGTTTTGCAGCTGCTATGCGAATTCAGATTACATTTTAGAGAAGATTCAGATTCATTTTACACATAAAAGGGTTCAGAAAAAGCTCAGATCCTTAAAACTGAAGCCCTCCTCTCCCATCATGCCTTGCGTCACAACGTGAAACAGAGCAAACGTTACGATCTATATGTACACATGTATAAATATCAGTTTTAAGTTTCACATTTAACCGGTGCAAAATCAACATTCACTAGCACCACTACATTCATGACAACTTTTTGTTTGTTTCATTATTTATCACGCAGCGACATTAACAACACACCGGCAGTGAAGTGAGTGTCCTCTCTAATGGACTCAGCCCATCCATGCCACTATCATTTAGATCACTCTTGTTTCTCTTCAGATCGTATAAATCTTTCGCCTTTTACTAAAGATTTCCGTGGAGAGGAACACTAAGAGTTCAACTCAATTTTTTGATGCCCTGCCGAAAAGTGGGGCTTTCCAACATTGTTCAAAATAAATAAATTAACTGAAGAAAGATTTCCAGGTTGAAACAAGTACACATACTTGTATGTTTTATTCAGTCGTTCTTGTAGTCGGTATAGAAGAGGGGCTTCATTGCCGTTCATTTAGCATTAAACTATGCCACTTAACACTTATAAACACAGAATAAAGGGTGTATAGGATTGCCGCGAAGCATTTAAATTCTTCATTGAAATTAATTCGATCATTTCCTACAGGCTACTGGTGTTCACTTAAAAACACAGAATAAAGGGTGTATAGGATTGCCGCGAAGCATTTAAATTCTTCATTGAAATTAATTCGATCATTTCCTACAGGCTACTGGTGTTTTGCGTTTGTATGTCCCGTGAAAATGACATGATGCCTCTTAGGGGTTATTCGAGATAAATAAATAGTCCGTTTATTCTTTGTAACACAATGTGAACTATGGTTTTCTCACTTAGTTCCGGTTTAGTAGACGTTCATCTAAATGTCAGTACTTTACTCGTCTTCGCCAGCCTGAGTTGTAGGTGTGTGTGTGTGTGTGTGTGTGTGTGTGTGTGTGTGTGTGCAAGGGAGAGAGAACGGGGCGGATATTTCCTAAGTTTAATACATTAGATTTATTTAATAGCGGGGACATTAACTCTGTGGGAAATAATACATTTGACAGTGCAGTAGTGCACCTCAATATAGGGATTATTAGAATTCACGATATAACGGAGACAATTTACAAAAAATGTATTTCTGGCGAAAACCCAATCCCATCATGCTTTGCGCCATAGCCTGAAAGGTTAACCCATGCTAAATAAACGTAAGGTTTTTACATTAGAACGCCACATTACTAGTTTCTTTGTGTGTTTCTTTATTTACACATCACGTGGCATATATTTTTATGTAACTGTTTCTGCATGAACCAGGACTTAAAACGGTGTGGTCGTCAATCAGGTCATTCTGTGGTTCGTGAACCTGATAGTACACTCTTGTTTTTCTTCAGATCGTATAAATCTTTCGCCTTTTACTAAAGATTTCCGTGGAGAGGAACACTAAGAGTTTAATCTAATTTTTTGATGCCCTGCTTCATGCGGGGCTTTCTAAACATGTACAAATGACAAACAAGCGGAAGAGAAGCCTTTAGGTGAAT